AAATTAAATTTAGAACGAACACCAGGAATTAGAAGACATGAACAAGATAACATCTCCATCCATAGTTGCCATGACTTACAATTAGATAAGTCAAGAATTTCTCCTCCAACAGAAACATAGTCAATTCAAACCTGCAACATGTAGTGCATGGAGGCATTATACAAAAATACACAATAAACGTATCTGATGTTTTATTTCCACCACATATAAGTCTTTGCTATTACTAAAAGACTTCCTGTAGTTTCAAATATTTAATGTCTCAGTAATCCGTCAAACTGAGGGAATCAGTAGGATAATACCGAGTGGTGCACATGAGAATTGATTCTATCAACATTACTGCATGATGGAGTTTAGAATGAACACAGTATTATAAATGAGATAAAACAGGAACAGAGATATATCAACCAGGAAAATAAACGAAAAATTTATACAAGAAAAAAAGCAAAAATGTTTTTTCCACCTTTTTTTTCTCCGCCAATGTCTTTTTATGTTGCTTTATCCTTCCGACTAAATTAGCCGATATTTTTGTGTGACCCAATCGTATAACCGGTATAATCTAATCTAACCAACAGAAAAATGAATGGCGAGTAGTCTGAAAACTAACTAATATAGTTAGTTCATAAATATTTCTCCTTCCCCTATTGAAAAAAATACTTTTATTCGAAATAATTTTCATGCACGATTACCTAATCTGAAAAAACACCGAGAAAATGTTAGGAAAATAATTACTAAAATCTGTATCATTTAGTATGATGTAGAGCAGTTGTTAATGTGGTAGTATAAATCCTTATAGTCAATTTTTTAGAAGGAAAAACTGTTTAAATATGGTTGTAAATTTTCACGGAGAAGAAACAAACTCTAAAAGTTTCCAATTTAAAGATGAAAACCTCTACTAAAAGTTTGGTCTCTTTGAAACTTTAGAAACATCTTGCAGCTTTGTAAATCAATACAAAAAGCGGAAATGTCCTTTAGTTTCTAAAAATTCTCTGAAAGAACTCCAGGAGATACGCTCGATGAGATGTTATTCAGCTCACATGATTTCCGAATATTAGATAAAATGATGGAGTCTGGTTAGTTAACGATCTGTAGATTTCTTCTCTTCAATACGTTTTAATCAAATGATAGGCACGGAAAGGAACAAAATTTTTTTTAGTTTCTTCCTAACCAGGATCAACTTCAAATTCAAGGACGGAATAACTTACAAGCAAACCTAATGCTTTATTTTCATCTAAACAATAGTTTTAGTGTCGGGAAGATTAGATTTAGTAAACTGCATTCTAGTAATGATATAAAACAGAGATTAACATTTACGGGTCTGGCAGGAGCATAGCTGTAACTACTCACGTGCATATGATTGTCTACATGTCAGATAGCTAACTCACTGTTTGAAGCCCCTTCGTTAAACTCAACCTGTGGGAACACACTATGATTTAGGAAAATCGAGTGAAATTAATTTATGGAGTTTAAATTACTTCTGTGAGGTTAACGAGATAAGTCGAAGGGAATGGATGATTTTCATCCACTTTTGTTATCAGACTGCTTATATCTTACATCTTTGTTTTGCTGTTTGTGAAGAAAAAAGCATAGTTACATCAATGTAAGTAATGGGAATACTGTCATCATACGCTTTGATGTCAAATAAGAAAGCATCGCCCAACATGCTTTATTTATTGAATTGAAGAATGCACTCCGATTCACCATTGAAAAATTGTGATAAAGTCTTATCTTGAAACGATTGTGAGTAGATTTTGTTACGTTCATCAGAACAGTGAAAACGCATAATAATGATTAATGTTTTCTTTGATCTCGTCTGGTTTATTAACCAGTCCTAGTCTTGAAAGTAAGAAAGGTTGAGCGTGGGAATAAACAATTCAGCGACTACAGAAACATCAAGGCAGAGAAAAATCGAACTTATTCTCCACTGGAATCCTGAACGCTTCTCGTTCTGAGGACGGATCATGCTGCCGGTGGGAGTCCTCGGAAAGCCCATCAGTGAATGAGTCTGTTTTGATAGGGATAGATGAAAGAAATTTGCACGTGAATTTTGGAGCTAAGAAGGACGCCGAGCTTGTAAAGGAAAGGAGGTGATATGGTACACAAGTATCATGAATCCATGAAAGCAGATGAAATAGAAGTGGGCTCTGTAAATTCTCAGCTAAGGAGTCAGTAATCTTCTGCGACTATCCAAACGACAATTACGAGTACATTAAGGGTATGGTTACCACGCTGTCGTTAACAACGTTGAAGACCCATATGCAATCGTAACCAATCCTTTCTAGAATAATTATGGCAAGGTGGAATTCAAAAAGTAAGAATATTACAGTTGTCCAATGCTAAGCTGTTACAAACAATGCAGACGAAGAGACCAAGGTGGCGTTCTACAGATAGTTGAGAGGCTCAGGTTGAAAATAAGTATAATGGAGAACTATTTATAGATATCTACGTCTCTAGTGATTTGTTGATTTGAGGCAGCGTATGTAGGCACTAGGACACACATAATGTGACACAGATTTCACTAGGTGGACACCACGAAAATCAGACAAATTTCATCTCAGTCTCAAGAATTTGGCAAAGCAGCTTGCTGAACACAAAATGGAGAAAGGTTTAGGATGTTAACTCAGATCACCATCTAGTTCAAGCAGCTTTCAAGATAAATTTGAAAGTCTTCAAAGAAACTGAAAGTCGGAGACATCACCGGAGTAAGCGGCGTGGAAGAATGTTGTAACCATGTGAGAGCGATATGAAAGGCATCTTATGTAATAAGAAGAAGCACGGAAAGGAATGTCTGCCTGTGGACAAGTAGAAGGTTATAGAGAAAAGAAGGATGGTGAAACAGAAGACTGTTTTACGACCAGCCTCGGAAATGTTCCATCACTGATAATTTTCAGCTGTTTTCAAGGTATGCGATATTTGATAATACTTATGACTGTAATCAGTTGTTACAAGTGTTTAGTGACTGTCCTCCAGCAGTAGAGTTCACCCTTGTAACAGAAAGCGAATCTATGATTCCCTTTCTTCATTTTAAATAGCAAAATAAACAGCGGAACCTCAGGGAGGTCATTCCATAGGAAACCCACATGGAACAGTCAACTGAGGAATTTCTAGAGTGGAGTGCCTATTATTTCTTACCACTTGCGTCCGACATATCGGCGGCTCTGACGGTTGTAAAGATGAACAAAACCCTCTGAAAGAAAACATTCGAAATGGATATCTAGCAAGATTAATCAACAAAAACATCAAACCAAACATTCAGAGAAATAAGAAATAGGTTGTGCCAAAAAAGTGACTTACTGCCTTCCAGTATAGTAACCTACTTGCTGAATTATTGTTAGAGGCAGTTATATCAACCCAACTGTGAAAATGTTTTCGCTACATGTTGTCATCCGGATTTTGACAATCATCAGTAATCTTAATCGAATTATGCCTATTTCTGCACATTTTCCTTACTCTAATTCTTTTAATAATGGCCACGTATTTTTAAACAGTTCCAAGTTAAAATTTAAACTCAGTTTTAGTTTAGATAGAGATATTGAGAAGTAGAATAATAGCGATCTGACACGATTTGTTTAACTGTTTGAAATTCTACTTCTGAATACATATTCGTCACAAGTGAAACTTGGTGAAGTCATTGGCTACGCTTACTTTGTTAATGACTGCCTACATTAAGTGGAAGTTCTTCACTATGTGACCTGCTAAGCATTTTAAACAAACTAAAGAAAAAAAATAATCACATTATAAACTGGAGATTCGTAATTACATCTTCAACAACTTAGTTCTGTGCATACATTGCAACCACTATGAGCTGCCTTCAACTTATTGACTTCAGCCGAAAATCAAACATTATCAATGTATCAGATATACTTACAATGCATTTGGTGAATTATTATCAAAGCAATATCCTAAAAACATCAAAGAATGACATATCAGGTGACTTTTCGAATGACTTTTGTAGGCATATATATGTGTGAGTGAACGACAAAGTAGAATTTTGTGCTTTTTAATTTCAAATCCGCCATCAGGTAACTCTTGTCTACGCATGAATGGATATTTATTCTCATACCTAGAAAAAATATTAAAATGGAAGTATATATGGCATTCATTTGATAAATGAATGTCACGAAAATAATGCAGAATTCATTGAACATTGATGAGGTTAAGATAAAAATCGATTGTGTAAATGGGAACACTAGCATAGTTTTCAAAATTAAAAAAACTTTTGCTCTAAATTTTATTCCTCTAAAGACACTTTCATAGAGGAAGGATTGAAAAATCCTAAATATAGCCTAGTAAACACCTTAGAGGAAAATTCAGCTACAGTTGTTAAATATTGCATAGTTGGGTAAAAACGGGAGGATCACTGCGTCCTTGTTCTTCAGATTTAAACCAAACACTTGCAATAGGAATGACAGCACACCAGTACCGGAAATATGGTAAATATTATTACTACTATCACCAAAGGATAAGAAATAATGTAATCGCATAAAAAATCTGAAAGTGAGTGCATAGATAAAATGAAGAGCAACAAGTTGTGCTCGAACCGTCATCAACTATCTATCTATCTATCTATCTATCTATCTATCTATCTATCTATCTATCTATCTATCTATCTATCTATCTATCTATCTATCTATCTATCTATCTATCTCTATCTTATTATTTTTCTTTATATCTATCTATCTATCTATCTATCTATCTATCTATCTATCTATCTATCTATCTATCTATCTATCTATCTATCTATCTATCTATCTATCTATCTATCTATCTATCTATCTATCTATCTATCTATCTATCTATCTATCTATCTATCTATCTATCTATCTATCTATCTATCTATCTATCTATCTATCTATCTATCTGTGTGTGTATTTATATATATATATGTTCGAAATATCAAAAAGATTTTTTTACGGAAGGAACTTTTATTTAAATGGAGATTATATAAAACTAACTGTAAACAAATAACCTTTATGAAACTCGGAATTTCAAAAGTATTCTCATTACATTATATCACCAGTAATAATAACGCCCCGAAGAATCCAGTTGTCTGGTGTTTTCGAGCATTTTAAAGACAAAGAAGTGATATAGTCAGTGTTCAATCGACTTGTGGTTTTGAAAACCGGAGTAATAAACTGAGCATTTTCTATCTCCATTTTCCTGTTAGTTGCTTTGATGTCTTGGCTATTTTTCTTTATTATTCCAGATTTTATTGAGTTACTTTTCGTCAGATAACCCTTCGATAAGGAAGAAGATATTGTTGACTGAATTGTGTGAATAACATTTGAGACGTCTTTATCATCTGCATTGTGAACAGTTAAATGTATCAGTGGCAACAGATGACCCAGTTGTTTGTATTTGGCCTCAACAAGACAACCACTTTGAATATCCCATGATGCACCAATTAAACACAGACCGTGGATGTATATCCCTTTGGCTGGATTTTCTTTCACATCCTCTAGAAAGAGTTGAGTCACTTGACATCTCAAATTTAAATCATTAAGTGATAATTCTTGGAAATGCTTGTGTAGAGCTTCTTGTTTAATTGTTATTAAAAATCCCTTTCGGCATAAAAAAAATAACAGTAACAATGTTACATAAATTAAATGATAGTGCCTACATTTTAAAATATTTGGTGAACAGTGCATTTCATTTATGACGTAGAGTTTAGTTATCAGGTGGATATAGACATAATGATATAAAAGAAACTATCTGCACACTGTTACCATTCACAACAATAATGACTTGTAAGTAATCAGCATTTCCTCGTTTATACATCAAACAGCATAAAAATATCACAGTGTGTTCATATAATTAGGTAAAAAGAAAATTATTATTAATACTTTATCCAGTAATCTATTCACGATGTCTAATCATTCACAACGTTCACAATAAATATTCTGAGTCAACCCTAAACACATAACTGTGACCGAAGGTTCATTTTACATTTAAAAATAAGGTAAAATGAATGATCTGCACATGCTACTTAAACTCAGCTTTTTGGTTGTATATTTCTTATTTGAGTGTGCAAGCTGCAACAGAAGAGGTTTATATATACGATTTCTGTTAGGCAGACAAATTACTCACGTCATATTGAAGTACATTTACCAACTGGTAAAATTAAGAGTATAAAAGAAAAGAATAGGTAACAGTCACTGCTATGTCATAAATTAGGGTAATAAACGATCCAGTGTATATGTTAAATCTTGTGTCCCTTAAGAGAAACACCAATAAGGTAGTGATTTTAAAAACCACTGTGTTACTTACTGCACCAAAAGACTAAAACAGTAGTGCTGTTTGTGTGAAAAGTGGAAATAACTATATGAAATCTTGCTTCTATAAATTAAGCATGTTATTTATGAATTTCAAGTTCAGGTGGTTTTCCCGACCTATTCCGTATGTTAATTGTAAAATTCTCACAAAAAGTAAGCAAATATTTATCCTTGTCAGTGTTTAATGCATGTGAATTTTGAAACCGAGATCAGGAAAGCATGACAGGTCTACATTACACTAAAATCATTGTGGAAATTACTGCACTCGTCATAAAGAACAAGATTCTAATCTTCAACACTGATATCAAGTCATTTAGTTGAAGTGAATTTTGTTTTTCCTCTTTGATCGACTAAAGAGAAACACCCATTTTCTGTTGACATCTAGGCCTCTATCATGGATGTTTAGACGACATCTGTGGATTAAAATTGGTATCGAAGAAACCAAACATTTCGGTTTAATCAATCAGCTGGAGAAAACAAAAATTGGCCTAAATTTAGCAGCTTATGCTGATTGCACAAGAAGTGCCTGTCGTGGCACAAGTACTCTAGAAAATAATGCTCTGGAGTTTGAAACGAAGAGTAATATGTTCGACTCTCAATGGGAACACCACCCACTTACTGGGTAATGCAGGTATATCCAACCAGTGATTCCCGAATAGGACGTAATGAATATCTTGGATTCCACTGGCAGCCACCATCTACCAAATAAAATTAATGTCAAGGTAGTTCTTCTGTATGGTTCACATGCATTACTAAAAGTATTTGCAGCAGGCTGCAAACTTTCATCAACAGCTGCCTTGGCTGACTCGATACTGAAAACCTATCGCCACCATTCAAGGACAAACAATAAGGAAGTCTTGTAATAAACCATTCAAGAAACTATCGTCCAACAAATATGAACATGGAAATGGAGATGGACTAGACATATGCTGATGAGACTAATGAGTGACATCCCGTTCCAGAGTCCCGAGTGGAAAATAAATGGGCCTTCGATGGTGAAATGGGAGTGACAGCGTAAGAAGCAGTGAGAACCTATGGGCGATTGTGCCACCAGTTAGTCAGGTATACAGAGAACAAAGTGAAACGAAGACGTAATTCTAAAGCGCTACATTCCAAGGAAGTAATGCTGTAACTAAAACATCACTGTTAACTAATAATTATACATTAATTAAATACATAATCTCTTATCTAGAAAATTCTACATTCTAATAGGCTAAGAACAATCTAAATATAGTGTAAACTTGTTGAAAATTATAATTGGCTTACTCGAGGATTAAAAAATCCAGTCATCCGATAGCTGTTTAATTTTCCTCTCGACAACCAAGTTGATAACTGATTATGACGGTCTAGAAGTTCTCTGAACCATGATGCCAGTGCAACAGATTTCCATGACATCTTGAAAGCAAAAACAAAGATTTCTTCTATTCTCTCATTGATTATATTAAAATATAAATTTGCAGGTTGGCGGGATATACGGTTTTGAAAATGACCGACGTCCTCATAAATTATCGAAGTATTGATTTTAAATGCGGAAATCATAAACATCGAAGAAACTAATTAATAATTAAGCTCTTTGATAACAGTTCCAATTTTTAATTTAGGAATTCTATGAGAAAATTTTCTACTTCTGATTATACTGATCATATTGCCACCCACCGTGTCTGTTTCATTACCTATACTGCAAAATAATCTGTGCTGCGCCAAATAAATCCAAACATAATAATGGTTGAGCTTTTAAATACAAGTATTTACATTAGACTAAGTAAGTGTCTGTTCAGAAGTAAACGTTAATTGTTATGCTTTTCAAAATTGGAAATTATAATTATATGCATGTATTTTTGTGAATCTTTTTTTTTGAAATGTTCCATTTAAAACATTAAAGAATTGTTCGCAAGAATAAAGTACAATTTTTAATTAATTGCACTCACCTTTATCCATATCTCAGGTACTTTTGTTTCGTATATCTCATTTAACATTTTGTCCGCATATTTGTTCATAACTTTATGACCTTGCAAAATGTCTAAAAGTTCTTGAACATCATCTGACAATAATTTAATCAGCTTATTCATTTGGCTACATTCCCTTAGCATAAAAATTACCAGTGGGTCAACATTTTGCTCATAATTTTTTGTTGATAGAATTGCTGGAATGCAAGATTGAAGTTGGTAACAGATATGCGTTAAACTGTCAACCAGTTTGTTGCCATCACTGAGGTCAGGACTTTTTATTGAGTTCCCTTCCGTAGTGTTGAGAAAACGTGTTGAGTTGTCAGCATATAAATCAGTTAAACAACCTGAACTCTCATGATGCCTATGTATATCACTGTCTTTAAGAACAATTTTCTCAACAGATTCTAAGATACGCCAACTAACAGAAGCAAAGTAGCTGGAAAGATTACAGATACTCATGGTCACATAACATATCAAACATTAATTTAATAAACCATAGTATCAGTAGTGTAATCAACATAAATATTAAAAAAAGGATAGACTCGGGTGCATTTATAATGAAGACGCCATTCACCAAAAACTGTTTCAGAGGTTAGAAGATTAAGGGGCTTTTATTCGATCCGTCTTAATGTATCAGTACAATAAAATTTAGCCCAAGTATTATGTCGTAGGCTTCCTCATTTCCTCTTCAAACATTTTAATTTTTGCACATTAAAGCCACCTAGATTTTTAGAAACAATTTTATTAACATATTGAGGCATCTTTACGACCGAAAACTTTTAAGTATTCATTATCAATCTTCCTCTTGTTTTATCCACAAATACGAAGCCTTGAAGATACATGGAAAGTTAGTTGTTTTTATTAGAGAATAGTTATACATTACTCAAAAGCTGGGAATATGGATCTACACTTGTATATACGCATGCGAAACAGTCTCACAGTAACAACCCTTTACATACATAGTAAATAACTTTAAAATTCCCCTCCATAACATCATTCATTTACTTTATACATATCATTGTATGGGTAGTTTACACATCTCAGATAGTTTCTTTTTGAGCTTCAATACATGATTCCATTTCGAGGAATAAGGATCGGTAAATATATGTTATAACTTTTTATCATGGGTCACATCAATGGACAGATTGATATGGATTACTAGGAAATTGACAAAGTGTAATCTCTGGCTGGTTGGAGGATTTCATCATGAGTTGACATCAGTTATAGAATTATTGGAAAAACAGCTGAGAGTACTGGACAGCTGTTGCGTCCTTGTTTGAGACTCTTCATCAGTACGCACCCACCGCCGGGGCTTGAACCCAGGACCTTCTGGGTACAAGGCGAGCTGGCTCGTAGACCATTAGGCCCGTGGGACCCAATCCAAAGGCTCATGAAGTCCAACTTCTGCCAGTTCATGACATAGCGCGACCACTTCGCAATGTTTTCTCCAATGGGATACTGCCTCATCTTCAATCTCTAGAGTTTGAGAACCGGTGGGTGCGCACTCCTGAAGAGTCTCAGACTAGGACGAAAAAGCTGTCCATTACTCCCAGCTGGTTTTCCAATGGTTCTATAACTGATGTCAACTCATGATGAAATCCTCCAACCAATCAAACCAAATCCCTACGAAACCAATACTTGAAAGTGTAATCTTCTTAAATAGGTCAGTCGGAAGACACGATCTAACCTTCAATATTTACATCTTTTAGATCAATATCAGTAAAAAGTTTGAGCATTGTGGATTAGATCAAATAAAGTATAATTATATTTCAATATAATTATTCTTTATTTGGTTTTTTAGATCACCCTATCAAACGACTACCAGTTACTCTGTTCTACTAGGGGTGAATTTATTTTTCGCAACAAAACATCATATTTCGCAGCAAAGTGCTGAAAATTCCACTCTGTAGCACTGGTACTGTTTCCGGAATAAAGCAAATTATTATTATTATTAAAGTCTTCACAGAATTTTATCACTGATTACATAACGCCATGATGCAATACTTTCAATTTCCTCAATTTCCAAGAATAAGAAAATATTTGATGTACTCTTTCCGCAAAAATTTATTTTGCAACTGGACATTCGACTGTCATTATTTCATTTCTGGAGATTATTCAGGCGGAAATATTGGCAAATAGTTGTCCACGTAAGAACGACCATATTAAAAATAATCATAATTTTCATGATGAACTTTGGACGTAGAATATATTCAAGTATGCTCCTCAACTTGGTCGATTTTCAAAGGACCCTGAATGGCGTCGACTGTAAAGTAGTTTGACAGCAGCTTCAAATCTACTGAGTCCAGTGCTGAAAACAGTTATAAACCTCATTCCAAAGCTATAGGATGATGTCAGATGCTAAGTGATATACAACGAAAAACGGAAAAACGTGAGGGCTTTAAAACGATACAGGAGTAAGACAAGATTGTCTACTATCATTGATGACCTTTTTAATTCTGTTGGACTGTACTAGACTACAGAGAAGGTAAGCACACATCAAACTGGCTTTACGACTCTAGGGGATGCGAACTTCGTTGATGATTTACTTCTTCCGTCTGATTAACTCAAAGATTAGCTAGGGAGAATTAACAAGCTTACAGAAGAAGCGTCGGTGGCATAGCGGTTAGGACGCTCGCCGACCATGCATATGGTCCGCGGTTCGATCCCCGACCGACGCATTCCTTTACCTCGCTAAGCCAGAAATAATGCTGGTGAAGAGGAAAGGTTGGGCATCAGGCTAGCAACCCCATCCTGTAAAATAAACATTGCTACAGAAACTTCAAGCCACTAGCTTGAAGCCCTATGTTCCACTGGGGAACGTGAAGGAAAAAAAAAACAGAAGAAGCAGCAAAGATACAATACTTTAGGTTAACATAGAGAAGACAGAGGTGATGATGCTGCATATTGTATCTGACCCCGATCTACTGCTAAAATTCGTTCACGTCCTCAAATTTCATATTGCGTTAGACTTTGTGTACGACTAAGTACGGACAACGTTGTATCAAAATCACAAGTAAAAACTTGGGAAAGTGGATTATCAGCAAAATCGAGCTTCTGAAGCACGGTGCTTGATCGCACACAATATATATAAAACAGTCGAAACTAATGTTCACGTATCCAAGTAATCGGTAAGCATACGTAAAAATAGTTTCCATAAAAGTGTAGTATGGGTACATGAATTATTTTCATAAGCCTTTGGCTGGAGTTTACAGAGGGACACGACATAATCCCCCCACCAGAAAACTAAAATATGATATAATAAATTTAAGTGTTCGAGAGTATCATTTGTTTACGTAACATACAGTAGCGTTATCCTATCAAAACATGTCCACGTATTAAGATGGAAAATATGTTATTTAATCCGTTGAGTTATGTGCGTAGGTAGCACAGCGGTTAGGACGCTCACCAACCATGCACATGGTCCGGGGTTCGATCCCCTACCGACGCACACCTGATATCAATGGTCGGCGTGCTAAATTTGGGCTACCGATATCACATGCTGAAAATTCCATACTTGTACCAAAATATTGTGTAGAATCAAGCTATAATCAAATTAAAAAACTAAAATTAAATTAATCAAACATCAATAGTAAATGAAGTAAGAATAATCCAAATGATAACTATGATAGAAAATGTGTGATATGATGAAAGTCAGCCAGGGATCCGTAGTCTTTAAGTGAAAATGACATACGGAATGTAAACATTACATGAATAAATGGAATAATGCTGGAAATATCTGTGTTCAAGTGTTAGCAATGCTAATTGCAGGCAAAAACATAATGACTTGATAGTAATTTCAAATAAAGACAACAAAAAGAAAAATTTACAGAAGGTTAGATAGTGATCATTTGAACGCAGAGTTTAGGCCACTGAATCATCCAACAGGATCGAGTTTTTCTCACAGGCTTTTCTGGCGATGTTGCAGTTTCATTAGGTTAAGACGTTAACAAGTCGTTCAAATGATCTTTGTCATTGTGTCCAGTGTCGTCAGTAGTCGCTGGCCTCACTTTGTCAATACTAATGGCCTCTATTTTATTCGCTGGCTCCACCACGATGACTTGTCTACTTCTGTCTAGAACTCTAACTGAGTTATCGTAAGCTGGTTGAAGTGGTCGCTAGACACAATCCCTCCTGATGAAAATGTAAGCAGAGTTCATCAATTATGGTGGCATGTATGATGGTCGTTGTTGCTGTCGTGGAATTGATATTTTTAGATCACACATGTTTTGCTTCAGCAGATACATGTATTCATATCAGGTGGAACTTGACTATCTGAGGTGAAAAACTCTCCTGGTAACAATAATATTGTCCTGTAGACTAAATGAGAAACGTAACACCCGATATCTTTCTTTAAATTTACTAAAATACCAGGTAGTACCAGTAGGAGTTTGGTGGACCGATCATTTATGGTCAGAGAGGCAGCAAGTGCAAACTTTAGTTGCTTATGTAATCTTTCAATGATACGAAGTCGTCTGTATGTGTTTTATTCGTATTACTATGGTGAACTTCTGAAACAGACGGCTTTCAAATTGTGCACCTCTTCCGGTAGTAATAAGAGATGGAAGACCAAGGTTTGACATCCAATTTTTGACCGCAGCTTTAGCAACTATTTCAGTAGAAATATCTGTTAACGGAACTGCTACAAATTAACGAGTTTATCTATCAACGCAAGTTAAAATATAATCAAAACCGTTGGAAGGAGGCAGTTGAAAAGCGAAATCTACACGCGCACGGTGGAATCTAGAGTCAAGGATAATAAAACGACCAAATTGCTCATTGTTGGGATGATGGATCTTAACTCTTTGACAAGGGAGGTAGTCTTGCGTTCATTTCATAGAATCGTTACCGATGTCTGGTCATATAAGTATTTCTTTAAGCGGCTTGTTACTAGCAATGACTCCGAGATGCGAAAAGTTATTAAGGTTCTCAAAAATTGTGCGTCTTATGGGTGCTAGAAAATGGTCCACATTTACCAGTAGATGTATCACAAATGACTCACTATGCTAAAGTAAATCTCTGTGAGTTCTAAGAATGTTATTTTAAAAGACGCAATCTTCTTCATTTCTACATCACCTTTTTGTAAGGTTGAGAGTTGTTTGCAGTCGATATCGAAGCATATAATACTGTTAATGTGTATACGTGTTAGCATCTGTAACTTCGCTGTTACTTTCACGTATGTGTCGAATGTCGGAGATAATTTGGGATATAACTCAAGATGTCGTAATTCACGAGGTGAGTAGTTATCTTGTTTGGCTGATAAGGCTTTGCTTTGAACCATAAGGACAATAAAAACTGTACTTTGTAGTATATATGAGATATTAGATAGATAAATAAATTGCTAGCATTTCTCTACCCAAATTGCTATGGCGAAAAGAATGAAAGCGGTATACTTGTTGTTGTTGAACTGCCCCAATGGCTAAGTTCTAGTAGTCCATCACGAGGGAAAGAGAAGCTCAACTTTCGCTTACAGGATTTCATCATGAGCTGACATTGGTTAGAGAACCATAGGAAAACCTGGGAGTAATGGACAGATGTTTCATCCGAGTTAGGGACTCTTCACAGTATGCACCCACCGGGATTCGAACCCAGGACCTTCTAGTTACAAGGGGAGCCACTGGGACCTGATCCAATGGCCCATGAATTCTAACTTCTACCAATTCCCAAACTAGGACGAAACAGCTGTCCAGTACTCCCAGGCTTTACAATGGTTCTCCAACCAATGTCAGCTAATGATGAAATCCTGTAATCAATCAACCAAATACCCACATACCAATACTTAATTTTTGCGTCTGACTAGGAATGTCTTTTCACTTAACAAATACCTAACACTTTTGTATGATTTAACGGCTTCAGCTTACTATTGAAACGAACTGTCACGTCTACGTAAACAGTCAGTTAATGATTGTGAAATAGTAGCGCAGTTGGGAATGAAGGGATAATAAAAACTGTTGAGAAGTAAAAATTATTGTAATTTCTTAAGGGAGGTTTTCATGTCATCAAGGACTGGCCTTATTCCTTAGCTGTAGATCAAATTACTGAGGAACTTTTTAAAGTTGAGTGTCAACCAGTACTGGTAAAGTCTTTCGAATACAGTCTTCACATATCTCAAGTGCTCACTCTCATTTGCATTCACAATGAGTGGGTCATTGATGCATGCACAGAGGAAGGGGAGACCACAGAGTACATGATAGATTAACCGTTGGCATATCTGAGTGGCGTACACTAGCCTAAAAGGCATGCAGATAAATTTGTATAAGCCAAATATTGTAGTCGAGATGGATGGGAATTTAGTGACAAGGTCAATTTGGGAGAAAAATTTAATATCAAGAAAACTGCAGGAGAGGTAGTGTAAATGGAACAAATGTATCTTTTGGGTAATGTTTGTTTGTTCAAAGCTCTGTAATCAGCGCACGGCCGAATTTTTCCAGAATGATGCCCGTTTCCAGTATTCTATCCGACTCTGCCCTTGAGATACGAAGTTGGTATGGATCAAGACGTCGTGGGTGTGCAAAACTGGTGTTCCAGCAGTTTTAATACAATGAAACATTCGATGCTTCAGTTCTGTTTCTCAAAAGGGAGTTTTCACTTCTGCTTTTTAATATAATGTTTTCCGTATCTGGTCGTCTGACCGAATATAACATGCGAAGCAGTGATTGTATTATAGCATATAGATCGGAGTAAGATACAGTATGCAACAAAGATACTCAACCCACAACATGAACAATCACCAATTACCAATAATGGAAGAAATTTAAAGGTAGTAGTCCTCCTCACATACCTGGAATTATCCCTTCAGTCATAGGCTGGAGGTAACAATAAATATGGTAAAGCCAATCTGAATCGAATGGGTAAAGCTAGAGAGGCGTTAATAACACTGAAATCAATGTGGACATCTATAGTCCTCAATACGCGGAGAAATAGTCAAATTTCCAGCAGTAATGTTGAGTCATTGATTCTATATGTTTCAGAGGCTTGGCCTGCAAGTGATCAAAAGAGTTTCAAACAGGCTTACGAAAACTTTCATAGACAGATGCCTTCAGTTCCTACTGAAGATGATAGGGTCAACCGAGGGGGATAAGCAACAAAGAAGTCCAGCAGGCAGCAAAACAACAGGTAAGAATCTGCTGCTCAATAAATACTCAGAAGAACTGAACAAACTCTGAGAGGACTTTTAAGCAATATGGCAAATCAGGGCCTTGAGCGGAACCCTAAGCGGCTGCGTGCATTCGAGGATGATATGGTCAAGATCATGTGAAGAGAAATTGGCAGCTTGTGAGAAATCGTGTTAAAAAGATGGAAAAGGGCAGAATACAGTGGAGATGCGCTTCTGAAGCCTTATGTTTCATTTGGAACCCAGGGAATGAATAAATAAATAAAAGTAATGAATGGTAATATAATTAATTTTAGTTCGAGCACATTTTGGTTGAAGAGGCATTAAAAATAAAATTTTTAAGGGAAACAAGTTGTATAGGTAGGAATGAGATCTAAAATAATCACGCCTTCTTTTTGCGAATTGAAAGGAGTTTCAGTTTACATAGGACATTCGTGGAATAAGATTAATTCAATTTTGTTCTTTAATCCCCGCTGACTGATCACTCTACCGTTCGAAAGTGTCTTTTCTTGTGCGCCTTGCTCAGTCACGTAGGAACAAAAGTTTTGGTTAGTTAAATACAGCAAACTGCAGGAAAGTAAAAAGATCTAAATGGGAATTTTTTTAATGCAAGGATAGACTCAACAGAACCTCATAAAATGTTCTTAAAGCTTTAAGGGAAAAACTTCCAGTAGTAGGATAATCTATATCCTTTGTTGTGTATTTGCTTTTTTTCCTCTTTAAAATGAGTCATCGTGAATCAGTGACTTGCCGAGTTTCTCTCAGACGCGGTGATCATTTTCATGTGACACTTAGACAGTAGTCGCAGATTCATCAACTGATATTTTACTTATCCAAAAAGCGCCTATTTAATAATGAAGAAAATGAAGAAATTCTGTTTTCTTCTGTTGTGAATTATTTAAGAAAGTATTACACACCTAATTTCGATAGACAATTTAAACCCACAATGACTTGTGTCATTTTAGTAAAATTTTCAACAAAAAAATTTCAAAGCATGAATTCGATTCATCCTGCATGACGTTTATATAGGCTGGCCTCAGTATCAGTACCGTCTCACACCATGAAGGATTCGGTGAGGCAGATTAATTGTGTTTAAAAAAAACATAAATTAGCCCACAAAAGGAAATAACAATACTATTTTGGATGTTGTTTTCACCTTATCATTTTAAGAAGGTTATTTTTGCAGGCTAGTGCACATATGTACAGATGAATGGAAAATAATTCGGCCATGTATGAGGTCATAATTCATGTTAATTTACTTGCTTGGTGAACCAAATAGTGATAGGTTGTTTTCATATTTACTAAATTATATTTTGAGAATAGCTTGCTGTTCTCAGTCATTTCATTTCAGGTGAACTTCTTCAAAGTTTTGTAGTAAACCATTCTTTCACCTTTCCAGATAGCAAGTTTTTCTCACAATCTCTGCTATAGGTGGTGAGTTATTCCCGCTACCTACATTACGTGTTGCTACGACAGAAAATGAACTCAGTGAACTCTTTTCCTCTGCATCTGATTATTTTGGACTTAAGGACTTCCAATCTCTCTGTTGTAGTTATAAGTCAGTAGATACCTCAGTAATAAAAATGTTACGAATACCTTTAATAATCATGAATAGTAGTTGAAATTGTATCTATAAATATGCTTGAAATTTTTTGATGAGCTTTTAATGTGTTAATGAACTTAGGTTGTATACTAAGATGCAAAGTTCATCTATTTATGTTAACGTTATTTGAAATCTTTGACATACCCAATTTCTGCATTAGGATTTAAGTGAAGTGTTTCTACTGAATTTTGATTTGACAAATTTGTAACAAAAGTTTCATAATTTGTTGTTTTTTCAAGACTTGGCATTATGCGACTCGGTGCCAGCTCGAAACTGTCTGAAAACATATCTGGCTGGAGGAATTTCTTGACAAGTGTGTTCATTACTCGTGCATCCTGTTCTTCACTTATCTGTCCACCATAAACTATTTCTGCAACCATAAACTGCATATATTTCCAAATGAAACTCTGAAAAAAAATACATTAGGTGTCGGTAGTAATACGTAGTAATTGCTTCAAACGAAATCCCATCAGTTCTTATTTCATGTTGATTATCATTTTTAGGTTGTGACCTATTAACATGCACTAACTAATGTTACTGACACTAGAAGACAAATATCCGTTTCTGTGAGTTCAGTCAACTTAACATCAGGTTTATTCTTCACAAGATTTGTGAAGCACCCCAGCGTATTTTGTTATACAACTTTTAAAGCTATCAGTGAGTCTTAAAGTAGCACCAAGTCCGGATTTCCAACAAAAAAATACTCCCCTACAGGTACAGAAATTCAATTTTTCAGTGAAGTTCCAAACGTGATACGAGATAAGTGAAGTGCCATAATCACCATCAATTATTTCGACCAACAACTTATACATGAATGATTGGATGTAACGATTCTTTAGCTTTAGGACTGTTCACCAAAGTGAAAAATGTTTCTAAAACTTGAAATCAAATCGTCAACACAGGATATACCAAAAGTAGATAATTTTGTATCATAGTGGGTATATGGTGAATTTTTAAGATACTTATGTGTTCAAATATGCATATGGTGTCTCAAACACACTGTTAAATCAGCTTTGAAGGGGCATAATCTCTTTTCGGCTTCGGTTTCACATCCCCAGTAGAATAATTACAGAATCTAATTTAGAGAACTTGTTTCATCTACCGCGTTATCCCCAATCTATGAACCACGATAAAAAGAGTTGGTTACATTCTGAACTAGTTGATATCGTACTATTTCACTTCACTTCCTTGATCTAGAATCCCGTCTGAAAACATTCATTTGTAGTTAAAACGACCAATAAACAAAAAAGAAAATTCAGGGCGCATGAGTGGTCCCATTAAGTGGAGAGGAGTTTACTTTCAAGATAAAAATTATTCTATGTGATAATTCGGGATTTAAAAGTGAAGATCATAATAAACATGCAACGAAAATGACTGGAAAATGTACCATACAAGAGAACACAAAATCTCGCGAAAAATGGATGCATTGCTAATCAAAATTACAATGATATCAGAACAAAAGGATCTCATGTACCACTTATTTGGCAGAAGTCAAGCGCACATAAGGCCAATATATCGATCCGTGGGTCAGTGCTCTCACTAAGAGGCTCACCAGTTAACGTCACAGTCAGAAAATTTTCAAGAAGAATGATTCTTTCTATTTCTGCTATGAAAATGACACAGAGCGGATATTTCATATCTCAATATTTATTTCTGGTTTCATCAAAAAAGACATATCGACACAGTGGGTTCCTGAAGACTTCCACCTGCCTGCATCATTTCGTTTCAGCGGTTACAGAGAGGAGTAATTTTATCTTTTTTATTTTTGAAATTTCTGCAGTGGCTGAAATTATTTTCCGGCGTAGGGTCGCTAGCTCCAAGCTCCTTCCAGAGCTTGGAATTAACTAGTAAACCAGTGAATATGATGAAGGTAGCGGAGATGGACTACATATAATCTGATGAAACTGTCAATCATCATACCCTCAAGTGAGACCTGAATGGGAAACAACAAGTTGTGTGTCCATAGATGACATGGAAAACATCTTATGAAAAAGAAATGAAAGCTTATCGGCAACAGTGGAGGTGGCTAAAAAAACTGCAGAGAACAGCGTGAAACGGAGATGCGCTGTAGAAGCTCTACGTTCCATTCAGAATCCAAAGGAATAATGATAAAGTGCGAACAACTTCTTAAGATATTTGATAAATCTGTGAAGTTTTACAACATAAAATCTTGAGTCACGACACTTCGTCTTCATTAAACAACAGATTTCACTAATCAGAACACAAGAATTATTAAAGTATTGATGATCGAAACCCAATGCCTTCCACTTTTGTATACTGAAGATGCCCAGCTTTAAACCAGCGGCAAGATACATAAATGTGTGGATTAAGCAGCATCGATGAGTACACTAGATCTAATAGTCAATGATATCTTTAACTTCTGCCTTGAAATATTCAGTCAACGCAATTATTTTCCAATTAAAACATCTTAGCAACAAATATGTCTGTGATAAGATCCAGAACGGTAAAATATTGCTACAAACATTCAAGCATCAAATTCGTCATGAAGTCTGAGATTACCTAAACTTAAGCTACAAGAGAAATTAAAGAGGGATAGTGTGTCACAAAAACTGTGCTATGAAAAAACACTAGAAACAAAAACTTATCTAATCCAAAAATGTCTTTGAGCGTCCTCACTTCCACTGAATATTTATTTAAAATATGACAAATATTATGTCATAGCGAAACTTTTTTATTTTTATCATTCAAGTTGTGCCCAGATGACGAAAACATGATGAAGTTAAATGAAAAGAAACGGTGTTCTAATCGTGGTATTCAGCTTTGTCTAAGAGGCTTAATGCATGTTTCATGAAGCATGAGTACATTTTCTGTTCATACAAGTCTCATTTTGAACAACAGAACATTTTTCAACTCATCAAAAGCATTAGCCGTGCATAAAAAGTTAACCGCTTGAATGATGGCTGTTAGACAGTGAAAGTGTTGGATTTTTAGCTTATTTTTAATCCTCATGCTTTCACATTCCCAGCAAAATTTCAAACAAATTAAAGTCAAAATGTTTGTATCACCTGCTTTTCAGTGGAACTTTTATATTTTATTTTGATCTACGAAGTGAACTCATTATTTTTCAATATTGTGGCAGTGAGTACTCTTTTACTAACAACGTGAAGCCCCTGTAGCTGAGAGAAATTACACTTTTGTTAGAACAATCTGTCACCAAAGAAACAGGTTTTACTTGGTCTTGACATTTGTAAAAGCGAAACGATCTGTTTATAGTGAATATCTGAGTCTGCATAAAAAACTTCACCAAAATACCTTGCAAAAAATTACAATTAGCTGTAGGCAAGGCAGTTTTTTACCATATTTGCATGCCACATGCAATAAAAGACTGGTTTGATGTATTTTCTACCGCTGAATTAACATACAAATCCCGAATTATGTTGTGCCGTTCAACTCTTGTTTTATAATGAATACAAAATATACATTGAAACTTACCTCAGAGCTTTTTGAGTCTCCAGACAGTTGCAGCTGTTCAATATGATTCCGAATATACTGCAGGGAAAAGCGAAAATCGTTGAAACTGAAGTCATATGGTTTAGACCAACCAAATAACTCATACTGTTGACGCTTCACGATGGTATAATGCAAAAGACTTAGTGCATGTAACATTTTATTCCATTCACAGCCGCCACACTTGTCTAAGTTGTTCTCCTTAATCTGCTTATATGTGCATAATAGAGCAGTGCACAAACCGTCCTCTGACAGTGGATCACTTGCATACTTGAGAGACATTTGTAGTAATAATAGTGGAAACTCTTCATGTATCTCACTGGTGAGCCACAAACGAAATAATTTGTTCAGTTCTTTTCCATTTTTATTTGTTATTTTTAAATCATGCGAAGTAGCATTTTTATCCGATGCTGTAAACGACAGTGAGCTAAACAAACAGATAAGATTATTCATATATTTCAGATTGAGATGGCAGTTTTGTAACAGGACCCAGTCACCCGAAAACTGAGCCTGGTCTATAATTTGCTGTATCTCTAAAATCCGATCATTATCCGATGGTATTACATGCAGTTTAGCATTCATTGAAGCAGCTAACTGTTTAATCTCCGAAGTTGTATCTCCAGTTGACTGTAGTATATTTAGCAGTGGAGTTGTGCAAGTCGACTGCTGGTATATCCTGTTTAAAAAGTAGAATATAACTAAGTTAGCCTACTGTATAGCTAATCTCACCATTGTCCTTTAATGTCAATTTATTACAGTCTTAAGAACTAAAAGGAAGTAGTGAAAATATTATTGTAAATGTGACATGGTGAGATTAAGAAATGTCTGGTCACTCGATAAATTTTAAACGGAGAAATGAAAAGATGAACGTTAACTTGAACATTATCCATTGGAAAGTTTGTAGTTAGACGAATAATGTATTCGCATGCAAACTGAAGAGAAACCAGTTAAGTTATCAAAGCAGTGTGACAATCAAAAAGATAAAAGCTAGTCAGAAATGTGAAATATTTGATTATTCATATGAGATAATATTACCTGGGTATTTTTTTGTCAGTAGAACTTAGCATGAAAAACATAAAGTGGATTTACATTTACAAAGTGAATGGTCTATAAAATACATCTACTACTGAATGTTTTTCATGCAGACAGTTTTTACATTAGTCCTGTGTGTTCTGTAATAGATGAAAATAAATTTCCAACATTTGCTTCAGTTTATTACAATTGTGTTTGTTATAGGTGTTTGTACACATTCCAATAATTGGAACGATTATGGGTAATGATTTTCCCTGGAAATATTATCAAAAACTAAAATCCTCATTGTGTTTAAACTCCTGTTTTGATCAATTAATTCACTGAACGATGCTCAAACCTTCCTGTCGTTTGTATCTAATTTATTTATAGCGGTTAGTGGTTTTATAAATGCCTGGCCTTACTTTTTACAAACGTTATGAATATTTGTGGAGGTATGTTAACGAAAATTGACGCATTCATACAAGACAAGTCGTCTCTTGAAATCCTAAAGTTGTTAAAAATTGATTGGTTGAGAAATAAGCGGTATATGAATTTGCTATCAGTTTTATTGATAAAGTGACAAAAATTGTTAGTGCATGAATTTAATTCTAGACGAAATCAATCTGATTTTAAAAGCAAGGCGACTAATAGCTTCGACTCCTATGGAAATAATCATGATTTCGGCAACTGAAAATATCTTTCGATCTTACTCTTTTACACTGAAAACTATATCTTCAGTAAATTCAGTTCCAAGAACTTTTGCAATAAAGTGTTTTGACGCAGCATGCAGACGATCTGGTCGCCAACAACGTATTAACAACAGTCGGTGAATTGGACGCAAATCCGACTCTGAAAATCCAGGTATTGGATGATCCTCTGGATATTGTGTATTGAACCATTTATACCACTGTCGTTCTGAGCAAGCAACCTGAATAGGTAAACAGTTAAAAAAAGCTTTGTTCGTATGCACCTAAAGTTTCATTAAAAGAACCGGTATGCCTTGCGTTAAGTTTGTCAGTAATCGCACAATATACATAACTATGAAAATCTATTTAATATAAATCTGTAACACCCTCAAACTTAAAATTACTCGAATTCACAGTCCAGTTTCCATCGGCTGCTCATCAGAGACCATGTCTCATTGAAGCTATGGGTATTTAACGTGAAGTAGTGAGTAGTGGTCACCACCGAATCGAGTATGATGAAAAATACTTACTGCCATTGGATGACACAGCATTCATTGGTAGAAAGTAGAAACAATTTAGCAAGTGAATATGAATGAGTGACTGAAAGGATAAAAATCTGACCGATTAATATAAATATCCTGGTCTCGATCCATGTAAACTACTGAGCAATCATAGACTAAGACCTCATGACATTCAATCCTTATTAGCTTATATCTGTTTTTCTAAATAAAAATAACCTTTAATGAATTCCAATCCTTCATCAGTGATATCTAAACAAAGCTCGAAATATAAATTATGAGATTCAACATAGCCAGTTCGGGTGTAGCTTACTTTCCAGTATTGAGAATGTCTTATGTGTTGTTTGCTACGATGAAAACTGCTAAAGATACCTGAGTTACCTCGAGTCAAGTGGGCGTTACAGGTACCTATAACGAACATGAATCTGAAGGAAATTAATTTGATGTGATCGCTAATCAACGATAGTGCAAACGTAATGAGCCGAATTATTCATCACTATGAAAGCAATTGCCAAGATTTTACTGGAATCTCATTTACAAAGAATAGCATCATGCACAACACCTGTATAAATATAAACATTTCTTGAAGAAATAAATGGGACTAATTTACTGAATAGGTATTCCAATATTCTTAAAGAAACTGCTCTCAGCTTAGCTCTTAGAAATAGGCGTATTTGAAAAAGTTTTTGAGGGATAAATTATTTTCTTCTAAATCGAAAAGTGGATTACTACTGTCAAAATGCGTAAAAACACCATAGAGTCTTTAAAAACAGAAATAATTATCTTTATTCATTTAACATCTTCACAGTCTGATCCCACCACTGTGTTGCCTTGTCATTATTTCGTTTGGTTGATGATGATGATGAGAATCACCTTAGAACCTGTTTTTTATGTGATTCATATGAAATAACGTTAGTTCCCTTATATCACAAAGACAGGTGTAGCAGTTGAAGGCATTTAACCTACTTCGATATAGAACACTATTGTGTTTTACTAGGATGATAATTAAAACTTGATTACTTACCTGCCGCAAAATATCTTTAAAGACAGACAACTTAGAAAGATTTATTAAATTAATCCAGATAGCCTGTGGTATCCATTCAATATCTTTTGATGGAAAGTCTCCTGCGCATAACAGTGACCCAGCCTTTAAAAGTGTATGTACCTCGTTTGGTTCGATATCTTGCAGATAAATTTGCAGACGGAGAGCTAATAGAAATGTAAAAATTATTCGATCCTTCTTAAACAAACTCTGCAGTGTAAAACGCCACACCGTCCAAGTCAGTTTCTGTATTATTGCTCTCATTTTGTTTTCGTCATTATTTTCTGTGCTTTGACCATCTAAAGACTGAAGAACACTTTTAAACAAGGTAATAAACTGTCCAACACCGAAATGATACATTTTATTGAGAAGTGCTAAATCTAATAGAAGGAAAAATAATAATGAACCATGACAAGCAATGGATCTGAACACTTCATAATTTTTCTCAATCTCTTCTTTTGTCTTCGTCATCTGATCCAATTGTTTCTCATGGATTTCAATAGATTTTTTGGTTTCATCTAATACATTCATTGGATTTAAATATGTATGTAATGAATCTTCATCTGAGGAGAACTGATACATTAATGTTGTGAATAGCTCTTGTCTTTTTCTTTTATGTTCATGTATAGTATGCATTAAGTCGGAATAAGTGGGTTGCTGTTCCTATGTTCATAAGTATTGGTTGAAAACAAGTAGAAAAAAACAAGTCAAATGTTAAATGGGTTTCATATTTTTAAATTAAGCTGTTGTGTTATTATACGTAACACCAACGGAAAGCTTTAATATTTTTGGGTTCATTTAATTAACTAGGTGGACAATTTATTAACTGGTAATTTCACAAAATGCCTTGAAATAATTTTCATGGAATAGCATATAATATATATATATACATATATATATATATATATATATAACTTCAACTCTGAGGTAAAACCATGTTTCCAGTCATGTGGCTTCTTTTTACTTATAATGGAGGATGGATAAATTGATGGTTCCAAATAATTTGTCTGTTCACAAATTCAAAGACAGAAAAAACGTGATCAACTTTCATGAATAAAAGGACGATGGATCTGTCAGCAATTTTTACTCTAAAAGCAACAGGTACAAGCAAATATTTTTCTAGGAGAAATTGTCTTCCCTTCAAACACTAATTCTATAGTATCTTAACTGAATCCGTTTGAGCAGTATTTCCAGACGTGATAGTCAAGACAAACAGCACCTATTAATATGAAGGTGAAATATGTTTTCATTCAGAGTCAGCGTTTTTTTAAAGATGACAACTTGAACTAATCAAACTAGAAAGATCAAATATCATATTTTATTTCAGACGTACTTGTTTTGAAACTAACTAACTGTTCTTAGCGGAATAAACGAAAGATTCATGGTTGTTCATAAGGTGATTACTGTCAAGGATTATTTTGGATTAAAAGCTTTTACGCTACAGTTACAAGGTCGATGCTATAAACCACAATTAGGAATATCTCAGAGCAATGAGACACTGAGACACAGTTAATGAAATTTAAGAAAAGATGAAAAAATGCACCATTTAATTACGTAAAGTTTATTATCAAGCCAAATAAAATTGTTTTAAACACTGATCAAAAGCACTCATTATTTATGTAACAATGATGGTTGTTTACTTTGAACTACCCCCCTCCAAGGATACTGGAGCATTGTCATTTGCAAAAATGTTTTGAGTTGTATTCGCGTGTCAACTAACCCAGATATCTCTATTCATATATGCCATCTTTGTATAAAACAGCTTTGTTTTTAAATAAACAAATTCCGTATCATGTAACATTAGGCTTGTTATTCCTTAACTAATATGGACATACAGATCTGTCAAAAACAGTGTTATCTTTTCAACAGTTAGTGTTTTAATTCATACTGAGAATTTTCGAAAATTCAAACATGGAAAATAGTTGTTTGATTGTATTTTAACATATGAAGGGTATAAGAATTTCAATTTGAATAAAATAGATATAAATCAAATATGCTTTCGTACCTTGCATCTAAATTCAATAATTTGATTCATCAGATACTGTTCAAATGATTTATCGTCATACGAGAAGTCGATAACAGTCATACTGGCTATTACTTGTTTTTCCAATGAAAAATTCCTTAGTGGAGTAGTAAGAATTAATCTGAACTTTGGATGTACCGAAATCTCTTCATCGTCAATTTTAATCTAGAATCAGAATACTTACACTGTATAACACTCAGTCTAACAATAGCAAAAGAAATTGTCTTAACATGCTTAATAGAAAAAAATATGTATATTACTTATTGTTAATTGAATACTTTTTTCTACTTGAAAAATAGCTAGGTGATTGATGATTACGCTAAGCTGAAGGTAAATAATCTGTTTGTTGCTTGCTGAAATACGCATGCTTCATTGTGAACTACGAGCTGATTAGTGACATAGAATACTACAGATTACCCCATTGCCGAATGAGTTAATTTATTCATTATATATCCAGTGAACTACAGCTTTCAAAATTGGCAAAAGCTGTAAATATTTGTATTGAGCTTTTGTTTTTCACAAAACTATTCATTAAACGGGTCAGCGTAAATATAAGGCTAAAGAGACTGATTTGTTACCTACTCTTAAGAACACACCCTACACGCTAACAGCTTTCCTTACAATACTTACAGCTGTTGCATATTTTCAAACTTCTTTCATTACTTATGTAAGAATAAGTTCACTTGATATAAAACAAAGTGATTCAGAATTATTCCCTTACTGATGATATTTAGAGCACGTATATATATATATATCGTCGGTGGCGCCGCGGTAGAGTGCTTTCCGACCACGCAAGTGATCCGGAGTTCGATCACTCCCTTACCTCGCTAAGCCAATAGTAAGACTGGTAAAAAAAGGAAGGTCGGGCATGAGGCTAGAAACCCCATGCTGTAAAAATTATCACTACTGCTATAGAAACTTAAAGCCTTTAGCTTGAAGCCCTATGTTCCACTGGGAACGTAAAAGCAATTATATATATATATATATATATATATGATAATGTCATGATATAATTATGAACAACAAATTGTTTACGAAAAATTATCAACAAATAAGTATTACTGTACCAGTGAGTATTTTTTGTTGACGGCAAAAGACAGGATTATGAGTGAACCAGTAGTTGGAGACAATTGTGCTAATGTATTTAAATAGCCAAGCAACCAGTCTTAGAGTATTTTACCTACATTTAGTTGTTTGCAGGCGTGCCAACAAATAACGACAAACAATTAGTGAGCGCGGTTGCTTTTGTTAACTTTTTTGACACTTCGTGTTTCACTGAGTCCGTTAATTTAGGATGCCACTTATTCGTTTAACATGTTATTGTTAAGGTTGCAGCATTTCTACTTTTCACAGTTTTCACCTAGTTGGGTATATTTGTGTTTGAACTGGTTTACTAATTTATCTCCCTGATTGCTTTCTCAGTTATTAGCATCACTAATATTGGCAACTAATCCTGCATACTAATATTTAGTAACCTTTTTCATTGTAACAAGATTAAGCCGGGATTTCACACATTCAGCTGTTTTGCTTCTATTTGTAAGATGTGATTATCACCCTTAGGTAGGGCCTGAATATTTACGACTCTGAGGAAACGTTTCAAGTGGTATAGAAAATTGTCCGTCGGTGGCACAGTGGTTAGGAATCTCACCAACCACGCGCATGGTCTAGGGTTCGACCCCCTGCCGACGCACACCCGATATCTATGGTCGGCCTGCAAAATTTGGGCTACCCTTATCACATGCTGAAAATACCATACCTGTACCAAAAAATGCGGTGCGGAATCAAGCTGTAATCAAAAAATATTTCATGAAATAATTACTGACCTTATCGACATAACCTCTGTCTATATCATTACTATCGATTAGAAGTGCCAACAGTGGATCCAGAGAACTAGTAATATTTTTAATGTACAGCGTGCAGCCATTGTTGACAGAATCCTTCAGAATGCTTCGAAACGTCAGTTCATCAGGTGTTGTAGTCTAATTATTACATAATTTAAAAAAGTCAGAAATTAAGTTTGTAAGGATTTGAATAATTTCAGTGTAGACTTCACTACGAACCGATGAGCCAGTGGATTCCAATCCAGCGGATCGATGGTACGGTTCTTTATAAAATCTACATGGATTGTATTTAAAAGGACGAAATCATAATATCACAAAATGAATGTCTAAGATTATTTGATTTATCTATGGAAGCTTTTTGAACAGTGAATAAATAAAATCTACCCTAATATGCCATGGGCTTATTGTTCATTATTTGTATCGAAAAAGTTTGTCTACAAGCCTGCATTAGCGCCACTGTTCACAAAAGAGTCATCCTGGATAAAAAAGCAAAAAAGCTCATATGATTTATGCAGTAACCTAGTCTCATTCTCTACTAAAACATAGTTGTAGATAATATTGTGCACAAATGCATCAGCTGTCAAATCTGTTCACATGAATTTGCACACCTGGCGATTTCAATTAAAAACATGTAACGTTTTTTTCACTGGTGTTCCCATAATATAGAAAATATTCAATCAAGCATAACAGAGTATGATGGAGAATATACTGGTCGATTTAACTTTCCGACGGAGAATGATTACGTACAGAGAAAGTCAGACGACTACATAACATATCCCTTTTTGAAGTAGCTGCAACATTGTCTGATCGTTATTAGGGTATTTCAATAGACAGGCGTGGGGCTAGCGACCACACACCACAAAATCAGTCAAACTGCTACAGAAAATTCAACGCACAGGAAAAATTTTAAAAATGTGAAACATAAAAACAAACTCGTTTCCCACTAGAATCAGAGAGGTGAAATGATGCGGACTGGTGATGACACATTTATAATGTGCAACAATGAAAGTCATGCTTCACACTTACACAGATTATTCAATGATGCACACACCAACATTGAGTTTACTATGGAACATGAAAGTGACGGAAAGTTTCACTTCCTCGACATTGCCATGGAACGCCTAGAACACGGTAGTCATTGCAGAGCAATGGTTACCCTCAAAGATTCATTAACAAGTACGGAAGATCTGAAGTCTCAAATGTCAAACAAATCACAGTGGAGAAATAGCCCATCTACATTTAACTTGATTATAAAGGTGAAAACATTGCAGCAATGGTCAACAGAAGACTGAGTACGTCACTAGCCAGGGAATATCCTGAATCCAAGCTCGTTCCCTTCTATCGAACAACTTACTCTTTGATGCAATCAAAAATCGATAGATATCCTTCTCATGTGAACTCCAACTGTATATACAAATTTACATGCATCTGTGGGAGCAGTTACATTGGAAGGACAGAAAGAAGGGCACATCTACGATTTTCTGAACATGTACCAAAAAGCTTACGTCTAAAGGGAACAAATGCTTCAAACAGTGCCATCGCCAGGCATCTCCTCAACACAAGTCATGAGGTGGAAATCGAGAAATCCTTTAAAATTATCGATAGACAAAGGAGCTCCACTCTCCTCAAGTTTGCCGAAGCATTTTCTATCAAACGCTTCAAACCAGATTTATGTGTTCAGAAAGAAGCAGTTATTAGTCTTTCCTTGCCATGGTAACTGGATGTCTTTATTCTCCACTCTGATTACGTAATCTTTGTCTTTAACCTCACCCCTCTTTTTTACAATCTGTAATTTTGCTTGTCTCTTGTTTCTATGACGTGAGTTGAACTCAGTATATCGTTACCTAATTTATTAGTTACTCATCATCTTACTCACCTCTCATCTTTATTACGTAACTCCTTTACCATTGTATGCATACATTTATTTTGACTTGAACTGCCTGTGTAAAAACTATATAAGCGCAATTTTCTGACCACTGCTCACTTATTGTGGAACTTTCTGTCAACTGACAAAATGTAAAATTTTGCAAGTATGTTAAAACTTTTCTGTAAGTAAACCTCATAATTTATTTAGGCTGTAAGCAGCTGATAAGAAGCTAACGAAATAAATGATGGTACCATATTATTCTACACAAACCACTGTTGTTCTTGCTTTATTCAGACTACGGAATATATGAAGTTCGTAAAAGAACCCCAATGTTTAACTCCAGTCATTGTATTGCACGGGTTTAACCCAAAATTTATGGAAAGTTACACAAGAGAACCTTATCACACCTGTCCAAGAAAATTGTACTTAGATGTTACTCTAAGGGGAATCTTTAGAATCTTAGGAGTATACTCAAGGATACAAGGTGGGACTTGTTTAATGAAGAGTCTCTTGATGACACTGTCTCAAATATTACATGTTATCTCAAATTTTGTCTTGACACCCGTCGTCCCAGAGAAGCGCTGTTCATCAGATTTGACCGTTTCTCCTCCCCTCAACTAAAAAGGATTCGCAGGGGAAAGGAAAAGTTATATAAAAATGAAGGATAACATTGGCGTAGAGAGTTAAAATCCTAATCAAGTCTCAAATGCAGAAGTTGAATTCAATTTGTGACCAGAAGTTTATATCCTGTAAAACCGACTCTAATATATGGAAACTTTTCGAAGAAATTACTGGTGATAAGCACATAAATTATATTCCTCATTCATTTTCTGTGTGTACCCTAAACAGGTCTTTTAAATATTCTCCCACAAATGCCAAGCTTTCTAGTGTCACAATATTTAATGAAACCTGCTTCCCTAGTTTCAATACAAGTGAAGTTCAAAAAGGCCTCTAGTCGCTGAACCTTTTTTTAGCCTAGGACCAGATGGTTTGCCTAGAGCTATTCTTAAAAATGTGCAGATATTCCATGTTATTCTCTCATGGACATATTTAATGAGTTATTTCTAGAAATATCGTGCCAGCCATTTGGAAGGACATTAAAATTGTACCTGCACCTAAGTCGTCTACTGCAACATATATTAAATTATCTCTGCTTTTCTAAAAACTATGAAAAAGTTGCTCTTACTTAATCTTTAACCTTCAGTTGAAGCCTTTAACGATCCCAAACAATTCGGCTACAAGCACAGTAGAAGTCCTGTAGATGCAGCTGCAGTCTTGCATCATAACATTATCTCCAGTTTAGACAAAGGGGCTAAATTTGTTCGCTGCACCTTCCTAGATTACACATCTGTTTTCGACTCAGTAACTAGGGACATTTTGTTAAACAAGCTTGCTGAAACTCAAACTGACTGTTAGGTTGTCAAATGGCTGCATTCTTATTTCTCTGGAAGGAAGTGGTACACTGTGTGTTAGGGAAAGTCGTCAACTTCATTGCTTACTGAGGCTGGTATCCCTCAAGGCGCTGTCCTTTCTCCTTTTCTGTTTTCTTTCTTCTTGCATGACTTGCCTCACTCTGATGAAATGAATTTTGTTAAGTATGCGGACGATCTAACTATTTCAATGTCTGTTAACTCCCAGACTGTACTAAGATGAACAGCTTTCTATCAGGAGTCAGCAAGTGGTCTTCGTCTAATGGTCTTAAACTAAATCCTTCCAAATGTCAGACTGTTAATTTCAGTTTTCGATGTAAAAGAAAGTTAAATGAAGCTGTTAATTCTTAAGACAATTGCAAAATTGATCATAGTGAAATAGAAATCAAGTCTGACGTTAAGTATCTTGAATTAATTCTTTCTTCTGATCTATCCTGGTCTTCCTATGTCTTAGCGATTCTTAGCGATTTCTAAAAGAATATTTCATCTAACTTTTTACATAAGTTGAGGCACTCAGACATAACTCAGCCCCTCCTCTTACAGTTTGTCCACTCTTGCATCTTACCTATTTTTCTTTACTGTTCACCCTTGTTCTTTCATGGATTGCTTAAAAACGACTATGTCATAATTCGTAGGACTCTGAAGATTGTCAATAGGGCCAATGGTGTTCCATTGGGCCATATCATTGACATCGTCATTGATAGGCATTTGATTTCATGCAACAAATTTGTTAAAGGAATTTCGTCAGACTGTGAGCATCCATTTTACCAGCAGCTTTCACCTTGTGTCTCTTCAGGTAAAACAAGAAGTTATTTCAAAAGACTTTATGCACGTACATTTAAGTATAAAAATTCCACTATACCAAATTTTGCACGTATTTTATGTGTTGGAAATAGTGTCAAGGACGCACTAATTAACTTTCTTTGCACTTGTAAATAAACCTTTTTCCCCACCCTTATTCCACCAATCTTTATGGTTATTGTTCTTTCTATATTTATAGTGCTCTCATTTCGTTTGTTTACTTTTTTATAAGTGTAAACATCATTCAAGCTCTGTAATGATTGTTATTTTCTGTTTTCCCCTCACTGTGCTATGTCAAGAGATTCAATACTCCATAACACGCTAAAAAGTGCATACTGTACCAACAATTCTGTTTGAAACAAACCCACTGTTATTATTAGCATTATTATTAAAGTTATTACTCTCATTTTATACTTTACACATTTTTGTTGTTATTCCTACTGTGAATATGGACAAGTTCCTGTGGTTAGTTTTATTTATATTTTGAGTAAATCAGATGAAATATTGTGGCAAAAGCTGAGAATTTCATTCTGAATTATAAGTACTGTTTTTGGAACAAAGTGGATTATTTTAAAAAAGTAGACTTCATCTCAATGCTACTCAAGGAAGTGGAGATCAAGCCTGCTGGATATAAAGTCAAGAAGGGGAACAAACGTGACCTCAGACCATCGTCTAGTTCAAGGAACCTTCAAGCTGAAGTTGAAGGCCTTTAGAACAAATGCAGACAGACTACAATTCAAGTTCAGCATTCAGAAACTGAAGGGCAAAACTACGATGGATACCTTCACTGCAGATATCAGAGCAAAGTCAGACACACTACATGGCATCAGTGAGGAAACTTGTGTGGAAGAACACTGGAACTCTCTGAAGGTGGTATTCAAGGAAACGTGTACAACTGTTCTAGGAAGAAAGAAGAGATGAAAAAGAAATGGCTCTCAACGGTTACCTGTAGATTAACTGAAGAGAAGAGAACAGTGAAGCAGAAGATGAAACAGTGAAAAGATGGGCAACATTAGGAGAAGCTGAGTTCAATGTTCACTGCAATGAAAAAAGAAGTGAAGAATACTGTTAAGAGAGACAAAAGACAATTATACGACACGCTGGCTCACAATTGAAGTAGAACAGGCAGGACGCAGGTAAAAGAGCTGCTGCTGCTGCTGGATTCAACATAGAACTTGGCACTGAGGTGCAGCAGTTCGAGTTGCCACGTTCCAAAGAGCACACAAAGGTAGACAGGAAAATGAGAGAAGAGAATCAATAGAATTTAGATAAGTATAAGAGTGAAACAGAATGAGTAATTCTAGAAAGGAATATGAAGGTTAAAGAGACTGAATACATCTGCGCCACTGACAACGATTTTGAGCCATGTCACCTGTTGTCTCCAGCCATTGATTCTTAGAGTCCCGAGGGCCCCAACCCGGAAGTCTGCATCTCCCTACCTGACTCAGTTTAACTGTCAAGGATTTCATGGATTGATGAGGCCATGTTTTTGTTTGGCCACCACTTACTCTTTTCCAACCTGCACCTATATCAGCTAGTAATGCCCGTCGGGGGAGGCGATGGTTAGGCATGCACAGCACGTGACCTAGCCATCTCAATCTATGTAACTTCATAGCCTCTTCGATTGATTTTCCCTCTTTGCCCAACACTCTACGCCTAACGTCAACATTACTTACCTTATTATACCACCTAACGCGAGAAAGAGATCGTAAACATCTGTGGTCAAAAACAGACAATCTCTTCACGTCTTCCGCTCTCAATGGCCACGTCTCACTACCATAGAGAAGGTAAAAGAGAGTTCAGAACATTATATCAAGTAAACAGGATTCTATCCGGAAAGAGATCCATGCATGCGAAATCTATAAAGATGGTCAAGGGAATTTAATTGCCAAGGAGAAACATATTTAACAATGGGTTGATCACTTCAAAAGACTCTTGAATCGACCGTCATCATCTGCAGCACTCCCAGAAATACCACCAACAGTACGCACAGAACTGCCTGTCAGTGGACACCAATCCACAAATACAAGCGGATGTCTTGAATGCAATCAGGCTACTGAAAGCCTACTGGGAGATCATCAGGACCAGAGGGAAGTCTTCCGAATTATTGAAAAAGACCCAGAGACTGGAGCAGATATGCTAACGTCATTACTGGAAAAGTTTTAAAGGAAAAAAAGAAAGGTGTCTACTGATTGAAAGGATGGCTACCTTGTAGGCGAAAACCGATACACTGGCTGAACAAGGAGGCTGTGAAGATAGGACTCCGCGTGAACGTGAATAAGACGGGGTTGATGAAGATAACCAACCAACAGCAACAAAAACAACCTGCACCAATCGCCATTAAAGGGAGAAGTTTAACAGAGGTTACCTCTTTCACTCATCCAGGAAGCATCGTTTCAAATACAGGGACAAGATATGGATGAGGGTTTCAGAGCCATAATGTAAAAGGTGAGATGCATCTTCATTAATCTGAAATCGGTTTAGAAATCTTCTGAGCTCAGCAACTTAAAGAGCAGGATTCGGATTTTCAGAAAAAATGTGAAGTCACTCAGCTCTTCTATATGGGTGAGAAACGTGGCGGGCGCATCACGAAAAACATTTCCAACTGGCTATCGCAAACTTTTATCAACAGCTGCCACCTTCGTTGGCTGGTTCCACACAGAAGATCAAATGGCAGGCCAGAAAGAATTAGCAGCAAGAAACTGTGGGAACAAACCAACCAAGATCCGATCTCTCAACAAATATATAGGAGAAAATGGAAATGGATTGTAAACACACTCAGGAGGCTGTCGAATGACATCGCGCGACAGGCCATCGCTCGAGTGGAACCCGATGGGGAAACGACGACCATGTCATTCTAGAGTGACATGGAGGAGGTCGTGCTAGGAGGCGATTAAAAACCACGGTAAAGGGGACGGCAGAAAATAAAACAGAGTGGAGAAGTGTTGTTGAAGCCGTATGTTCCACTCGGAACTCAAGGGAAAAATAATAATGATAATAGACATGTCAAAATACGCCAGCATGATTTCATAAAAATTCAGTAATATACGTTTAACTTTTGAACCTAATGACTCCTTTAATCGGTTTTACTGCGTAGATATCAGCATCAAACAACGGTTCCTGATAAAAGTGCAGAAAATATAATGCAGTTCAAGAATATAATACTACCAATATTATGTACGCGGGACAAAACTTTTCACGAGAAATTTCATTGAAAAAGCATACAAAAAACATAAGCTTTCATTAAAACACCTTAGCAATGGACTATAAAGCTACAGTTTGGTGGGTTATGCAGTAAAGCCACTCTAGAAAGTCACTCTGTTGGCTTATTTTAGAGGCTTACGATAGTGTACTGATTCGCGAAAAATACCCATTAAGACATTGAAATAAGAACAAATTAGTTCAGCGAAGAGTCTCTTTTCGGCGAATTCATTCACTTATCTGTACAGTCGCAAATATATACAATTATTTTGTGTGTAGGTGTGTACATTAGGTAACAACGGAGCAATAAGGAGCGCCATTATTGAGCATATACTCAACACTGGTCGTTCGATTTGCAAGGAGAAGTCGTTCAAAGTCATCTATAAAGTCAAAAGAAGCCTTCCAAAATCGACAAGCTTCCGTATACTTTGTATTGCCGAAGCCTTAGCGATTTGGATAGAAAAGCCTGATTTATGCACACAGAAGAAACTTCTCCACCCCCTCCTACTACCGTGGGTTTAATTTCAAGTTTATCTGTCATCAACATTTTTTTTGCAATTTTCGTATAATAATTTCTAGTAACTAACCCATTCAATCTTTTCACCTATTATCTAGTTTATTTTCATAATTGTCTCCATACTCCTTCACTAACATCTAATCTTTCTAAACATGTCTATATTACGTAACCCTACTCACATCTTACCAATCTTCACCCCACTTAGTTACAACTTTGATTATTAATCACACATTTTAATTTCTTTACTATTTTGATGATGTAATCAACAACCCACACTAACAGTTATTTTGATTTTGACAAACCTAATGTACACACACAAAATTAATTGTATATATTTGCGACTGTACAGCTAAGTGAATGAATTCGCCGAAAAGAGACTCTTCGCTGAACTAGTTTACTGATTCTCTATTAGGCGTGGATTACGGAGGAGAAACTACCAGCAACTGAAAACTTTATGTCGCGGTTAATATTTTCTTGACTAATGGCATTTTAATTCAGGCATACTCTGATGCACATACTTGTGTAACTGAACATGCAATGTAACCAATATACCGGAACAACCAAACTAGATAGTTCAAGTAAGCACAACACAAAGATCATTGCAATTCGCGGTGACTCTGAAATAAAGCAGATTTTTAGTCCTACTCGAATTTCCTGAAATATTGTAAAATAGATAAATTTTTATTTCTTTCAGTTGAAAAGAGATGGAACATTTTTTAAACAAAAAAATATGTAGACGTCCATAGTTATTCGATTATATTTATTAGCGAATGCAATGGAAAATGTAAAGAAATCCCTTTTTGATATTCGTTTACTTACCGACAAAGCATTACGATGAACTGTACTGATCCACTGATAGCATTGTTCATGTGGATCGATAACCAGAGGAATACGCTCCGACAAGACGAAAATAATAGCATTTTGAATAGACACATCATCCATAACCAGTCCTTCTAACATCGATTCGTCCACCTATGTATTTAAAAGTAAATGCAACTTTTTAAATTCGTGTATATCGAAAATTAAAAGCATGAATAGTTATTCACAAATAAACAACTTTATGTATAAAAGAAATGAAAACTGAGTTCAGGTGTGCAAATTATTTTTACGTCACAACTCATAAGTTTATTGTCAGCGTATTTGTGTATTAGCTTTCCGAAATCTTATAATAATTATTTAGCAGCTAATGAGTAATGCATGTAGAAGTTTTAACCTTTATGCAGAAATGGTAGACTCTAAGCTAATAAGGCCTTCTCGTCTGAACAGTTTTCACGTATTCTTTTTAATTCACAGCCCATAAATGCAATTTATTTTTATGCTATTTCTGACTTACTTGATAGCTTTATGTCAGGTAGTATTAACTCTCGCTTACGTAAGAACTCTTTGTTAAAGTCCTCTGAGTATCGTCTGTGACATCCATTTGAGAAATTTCGTTTTCAGAACGCGTAGAAAAACAATGCAAATTATTGATATAGTTATAAAATTGTTGTTTCTATGGCTTAATATTCTGTGAATAGGTATGAAGTAAAAATCTCAAATTTAGAATATAAAACATAGGAAATACTTTCTACTTACTGAAACGCTATTCATAAAGGTAGAAATAAGGTCTAAATCGTTCTGGTGTGGTATTCTGTATTTAAGAAGAATGTGGCTCCAAGTGTTCAGTAATTTACTTCTGTACTCTCGATTAAAAGGCCCACAGTAAACCAGAAAAGCTGCAAGGTAGACTGAGTCACCCAATAACCAAATGATTTGCTGCTTTAAGTTTGCAATCTGACTACTCCACTTTATCACATCTTCACTAAAATCCTCTGTAAACTGATGGTACATTGAAATTCTGTTTGAAAGGCGTTGAGACTCTTGCTCTAAACTCAACTTTCTTCTTAATAAATTTTCATATTTTTCTTGTAGGGCGTTGGCTAGTTCCATATTGTCCTGCAAAACCATATCAGCATACAACCTCTTTCTTTTAATAGGAAAATATGTCCTTTTTAAGTCAGATATGTTTTCTTCTAATGGAATTATTTGTTTCTTGGCAAGCGAAAAATATTCACAAACACTCAAAACCCATGTAAGCAGTCCGGATAAGCCTCCGCAGATTTTTCTAAGCGTTAGAGTATTAAAATCGTTTTGCATTGTATAAGCTTCCAGTAGATCCAAATGTTCCTGGTTTAATCTTCTCAGTGGATAATCTCTTAATAGATTTAAGAAATTCGGCTTCATTATGAGCTTTTTTGAACGTTTCCATGAATTTGGCATAAAGATTCCACGCTGTTTATCAGCGCGAATTTTATCTAAGGGATAGTTTAGAAGTATCAATAGACAGTCTATAACTCGCATAAGTAAGTTTGGAGGTCCTTGGAATTTACGCAGTAATCGGATGTCCGTATATCGAATGTTTTTAAGAGAGTTGTTTAACCGTGTTAACACAGGTGTGACACAGTTTTCTTGAATGGCTTTTGCCTTTTGTTGTTCTGTGATAGTCTGCTTTATTTGTTTTAACTGAGTAACCACTTCATCTGAATGATGGTGTGCATTTTCAACAGTTTGCTTCTGCCTTATTAAAACCTCGTACAACTTAGTGATCTGTTTTTCTACTTTATGCATTTGGTTTCTGTTGTTCGTCAAAGTTGTTTTAAGATTGTTAACACTAGATTTAATATTGTTAATCTTTTGCAAACTTTTGCTCAAATGATTATTTTGTTTCATGATTTCGCTGTGTCGCATAGAATGCATCTGAATATTAAGGGAAGAAATGTAAAAAGTTAGCTATCTTTACACTTAGAAAACTAAGCAAATATTAAACCAAGTTAAAATCTTTAGAAGTAGATAAGTTTTCATTTTACAGAACCCTACTGAAATCGCAAAACTAACCAGATGAACAACTATATCCTCAGAGCAATGGTCTTTATTTGCTTTACATAAAGTAATGAATTACAAACAACCTGTTATGGACTTAAAGTGGTAGCACACCAGTAGCACAATAGCGACGCCACTGATCATAAGAAATGTATCACGACATTTCGTCTGAACAGTTTTCACGTATTCTTTTTAATTCACAGCCCATAAATGCAATTTATTTTTGTGCTATTTCTGACTTACTTGATAGCTTTATGTCAAGTAGTAATATATATATATACATATATATATTCAGTAAATTTAGATGAATGACTTAAAACAAAAGCACAAACACCAGACGATATCCTCAATGCTTTTCATTAAAACTGTAAGTAAATCACCTGACCAGAGAAGCAGTTTTACATGAACAGGAATGGCATATAATCTTCATTCATTGGCATTTATATTTTTATTCATAGTAGTGCATGACAACTTTGTGAATGTATTCTTGATGAGAAAAACCTTCTTGTGCGAAATGCACACTCGCTCGTCTAACTGCCTAATGGCTTGAACATTATTACTGTTTGTGAACAGTCATACTATATGATAACAAATCAAGATACGAACGTTTTGCAAATGTGGTTCACTTATCTTGTTAACTTTAGTACAGTGACCCTTTTTCATTAAATTAAATTAATCTTTTTTACCGAATATATGATTTCTGTGATTTTGTTATTCTTTTACTAATAATAGATATTGTTCTAAATTTTACTGAGTTTTAGACAGAGAAATAAGTAGTCATTAATTCACCTTATATCCTTTCAGTGAGGTGCACTGGTGCAAAAGATAGTGGACTGTGCTTCAATGACAAACCCTAAAAAAGACGCTATTTGTAGCGGTACAGACCTTTATTATGTTCACATAATGATATAAGTAATTTATTATCTAGATATTTGGCTTATTTGGCTGACTTAAGAGTTCTTCCCATTCTGTAGCGGCAAATGATGCTTTATAGTAATGTCTAGGCTTCAGAATTAAAAGTTAAGCACATAAAATTGCATTTTCATGATTGATTGCCTCTATATGTATCCTATTACACCAGGAATTCATCGTCTTTATTTGTATTCCAGTAACACTCATTCAAATTGCGGATATATTCAAGCTATGCCATATCGTCGCCCATGCTGAACTATCTGCACTTTTGAGGAGTTACGTAACTATGGTAGATCTGTGAACTATCTACACAATGCCTACACGTATTTTACTGTCCAAATGTACTTAAACTACTTAAACACCAGTGGTAGCTTATTATTCACTATTTAAGTAATATATTGATATTACGCTGAAAATTTCATTCTAGTATTAAGTAATACCAAGGAGGATGTTGAAAATAAATTGTTGGATTTATTAAAAAAGACATAAGGTGTAACGAAATTTCCAACAAATATTTAAGCAAGTAATTAACAACATGAATGATTGTAGACTAAAAATAATAACAATGATGAACAAGTATTGTGTGCATTTTATGTAACTTACTCTTCGTATCTGCTTAAGATAAAATATGTAAGATGTAGGGTAAAAGCGAACGCTTCTATGAAGACAAATCCAGTAATCCGAGCAAAGCTTTGAAGCGCTCATATGCACATTCATAACAACTTCAGCAACATTATGTTCAAATGAAAACTCACTGTTGTGAAACATGTGTTCTGCTATACTTATGTATGCCTCCGGAGACCAGTTGTAGAACCAATCTATTGTGGTATAAGTTATCAATTTAGAAATATTTGGCAGTCTGTGAATGGATTTATCGCTCTCAGAACAATAACAGAGAATAACGTGTAGGTTGTATTTTACTCTTGACTCATAGCACTTGAGTAATTCTCCCATTCGCTGTTCAATTTTATCATGCAAATCTGAGGAAATATTATTTTCATGACAAATAAACTCTTCCAGTTCAGCTCTTCCAATTAGGTTAGGGATCTGTAATTAATAAATTTAAAATATTTTATTCGAAACGGTGGCTTTATCAATAGGCTGAGTTAAGTCACAGTTTACAAAATTTTACATTTAAGACTGAAAAATACTTAGTAAAGCCTAAAGCTCATGGAACATCAGTCTAATAGGAGAATTATTAAAGTATTGTATACAGGCACATAACTAAGTATCTCATTGAATATTCACCAACTATCGCGGAAATAATATTTATTGTTCTTGTCTAACAGTCACCTATTTAAACGACCAAGGCAAAGTGGAATAGAATTACCTGAGAATAAAACTAATCATAACCAGGAGAAGACATGTGAAAACACAGCTCAATTCATACAGATGATATCTTTCTTTAAGCCACGTAGAGATGCACACACTATCTGACTGTGGAAATCAGTGGTTAGAGACTCACTGGTTAAAACCATTCTGGGCAACGCAATTGTATCTACTCGTTATTCTGAAAATTTTCACGAGTCTTCACCTGATTATTTCCTCTCCAGTCCATCTTCATCCGCCGTCATTTTACTACACTTTCTTTTTACTACTTCCAAATGTGTTTCATAGAAGTGCAACAACTTGAGCCAGTGTACTTTTGTGCAAAGTTCCGAGCCGGTCATTTTGATGGTCACTCAAACGAATATACAATGCCAATCCATTAAGTCTACAGCCAACCAATTTTTTAACCCCTCCATGCATGTCGGCACAGACCAATAGTCAGTGATTAGGCTACGTAGTACTCCCCCTTAGCAAAGCAAATGGTACTGGGACTGAACCTGCCTGTCAAGAATGGTGGACTTGGTGTGCATGATACATCCCGTAATCAACAAAGAATCATTACCTTGTCCAACAATATCTTTAATTAAGCATTACATACATTACATTTCACGCAATCAGGGAAAAAGAAGCCTATGAATAAAAACAAGTAGTGTACATGCATATCTTCATTAGCTACGGAGATTCCTTTGAAACGAGAACCTGCAGATGCTGGAACCATCTGCCCTACTCGTTTCTTATAGACTTCATCAAGACTACTATATTTTCCCGAAATTTTATTAGTGTTCGTGTTAGCATAAATTTTGATATGAAATGCAAACAAAAGAAATGAAGTAAAGTTTTTAGATCTACACACAAAACGGAAGTAAGTGGGTGGCATTCAGACAAATAGGAGAATCCAAGTAATCTTAGAGTCATGAAATCATAGGCATCGCATTAATACAACTCCTTCCGTGTGTTCACTAGCCAGCCTCTTACTATCGTTAAGAGTGGTTGATTCAAATCCAGAAAACTAAAAGTCTCTAAATTTCCTCTGATTCAGTTTTGTACTATTTGTTATTCACTTTGATTGTGAACCATCATTATTATTTCTCTCTTTCATTCCTAAGCTGCACATATCAATTCGCTGCCTAGTTTACTAGCCAGAAAAGAAGGAAGATTAGGAGAAAGGCGAACAATCTAACCCATGGACTAGCGCTCCCATTTCTACGGAAACTTAATAGAGCATTATAATAAATATTCTATAGAAATTTAGTAAAGAAACTTCCTGTACAATTGCCGGTTTCTCATCACACTTGTACATATCAGGCAATCTTACAAAAGCTTTCCTAATATCTGCTATTAAAATTTACAAACGGAATTAAATACATCCTCATACAAGGGGACTGATTTCTTCTTGAATTCAGGCTTTGTGATTCAGTCTCTTCTGAAAATTCATTCTGTTGGAAAGTCTGTGGATTACAATAACTTTCTGAATATATAACCCCGCACACTGCAACCTAAAGACATTTTTAAAATAGCTTGCTTGTAAATTCATCATTTTTAATGGATATTTGTTACACGTATCTGATACCTACTGCCTATCGACAAAGCTCTGTTTATGCAAAGAAGTTAAGTTATGGATGATGACATGCTGGCTAGAGCATCAATAAGTCGTCACATTTTACTGTGTGTAGTATTATAAGTATAATACTAGATATTAGGAGTTAGTTGAAATATAAAAACATATTTATTGAGAGTTACTTACAAATCCATTCTGCAGAATTGCACTGATTAATTCAGTCGGTGAGTCTTTGGATGTTTTACACTTATCATTAATTTTTGTATCATTCAGAACAGCATTGATTGCAAGAAGTAGGACAGTCCCAGTATTTTTTAATCCAGCATTACGATGAGCAGTTTTCAGTTTTTCAACAAAGTTTGGATACTTGAAATCACTGTGTTTAAGGAAGATAATGAATTTTCATTACATGATTAATAACCGAAAGTTAGGTAAACAAACATAGTTTATAAATTCCTTTCGTTAGAATGGAATCTAAGTAATGTGGAAATGTGTCTGTGTGACAAAGCATAAAATCAATTTCATCTATTTTGAAAGTTATGAAACTGAAGATATAACAGATGCTGAAGGAAATGAAGCATTCAGAATGGTATGAATTGTACTGACTTTTCAGAACCTGATTATTTATCGAATAATCGGGTGAATATAGTTTGAAAAAAGTATTCACTATGGACTAAGGTTAACTATGAAGGAAAAAGGTTAGATAACAAATTATGTAAGAATTCGGCTTGAGATATAGTGCAAATCGTGCCAAATTAAAATATGAAGTTTTCAAATGAAATGGAAAAGTGTAGAAATATACTAAATAAATTGGAATACACGATAGAATATCTATTCGAAATTGGCAGTTCTTTCCTTTTGAGCAACTGACATGACCAAGCCTGTTGAGATCCGTTGTTTTAATAACAAATAATTAGTTTGAGTTCTTCAACTATCGAAAGATCTCAGATTTCTGACATTACTTTCATCGTCAGCCTAGTGACAAAACTGTTATAAATGTTTACATTTTAGCATTGGATTTCTAAGAAAGTTTTAGTAAGTGAGGAAGAGTATCCTTCCCATTACTGTCTCCAATAAACTTATTTTTACTTGCATATAAATTGTGTTAAAAGCAATTTTGAGGATATTCATGAAGCGAATCTTAAAAAAACAAGCAAAACTTTTAGGTTAGTGAATATATTCTTTTTATGTATGAAGTATGTTTCAAAAACTTTTGTATTCACTTTGAGCGTTTGGAGTAGATAGCGAGCAAAAAAACCATAAACTTCATTTTCTTGCCTGCTGGCATTCATCACAAGTACACAGTGACAGTTATAAGAGAACCCATGTCGTTTGGACCTGCAAAACTGAGCTCAGATGTCATAGACGTTAGGAATGAATCATAAAAATAGAGATTGTAATATCACCTACTACCCAGTGACTAGGTGGCTGAATTATGGGGGTGCACCAGTTCGAAAAACGTATCACATTAAATTCTAATAAATTTATAGTTAATAGGCTGCCGCATTAGTGACATCATGTCTCGGAGATACAAAAACACATTGCTGTGATAGTAAGTAAATCAAATTCATAAATAATTATTATTACTCCCTTCAGAACTATGCACGTTCAGCTGTTGAGAGTTTGAGATGCTTTAAAATATTTAAATCTAATTCTAAACTGCTTCATGTTGTGGATTCACATGAAGAAATGATCCAGAGAATACTACAGAAAGAATTTCAAACGATAGAATATTTGAATGTCTTCTAAGTGTACCCCTTGTCATCCCTGAAATTCTTGGTTACTTCGAAAAACCATTCTAGTCTGTTATAGAATTCATTCGGTTACAAGTATGGTGAAGATGTGAATTGCTCAAAATATTTACTTAAATCAGGTTCACTCATAAACAAAATTATCTGGGTTACCTTTCTAAAGTACTCTTGACTTTACTGGGCCAGGTAAATGCAAGTACTTAGTCTGGATTAGTTAAAGGTACATAACAATTCTGAGAAATGGAATGATTACGTCTAGCCTCTTGACTATGTACATATGCTACATATGAAATGAGATGTTTTACTCACTGGCTGGAGTTTATCTGTGCTTTCACTTGAAATCGTTCTCAATGGTACAGGTGCATTCAATCTTTATGAACTCCTGGATGCATCTAATTCTCATAATTCTCTATATACTGTTGCAAATTTCTATTTATTGTAGTTGAATTGGGTATTTCCCTACCTTAAATGGAGTGTGGCAACTTGAAGCACTGCACTTTTGTTTCACAATTCTACACTGAAAACTCAGACAGTTAATTCTTAGAATATGGAGTATGTGTCATCCTGTGTAAATTTTTATCTTATTTAATATTACAATCAAAGTGATTTTATTTACCTGGAACTAGAGACTTCCACAACCTCATAGCCCGAGATAAGGCAGCTCAGTTTAGCTACCGACCGTTTACCACAACCATAAGGCCCAGCTAAAAGCATGTGACCACCTGGATTGCGAACAGCACGACATATGCGAACTATATGACGAACGAAATCTGGGAATAAAATCAAGTTCTCTTTGGCATTCGCTTCATTCTTCTGGATTGATTGTTGTAACTGCTGGATGCGAGTGCGCAAAGAGCTATATTCTTCCACCTACCAAAAGCAAACAATTAATTAAATACTTCATTTTACTTCTAACAAACATATTGCACACGTATTCACTAGTGCATAAAATGTACACATAAAGTGAACGAAAGTTGGTGTGAGTTTCCTTAACTGAGGCACTGAATAAACATATTTCAGATACAAAATGCCACAGCCAAAAAGGCAAACATCTTCTTTCTTGTCTCGTCAGTGTGACCATCGACCATGCACTGGTCGAGATTTTCACTAATAGCTTGTAATTAACACAAATTCCTTTATTAGTCGACAAGACTGAAAAGTTTTGTAGGATAAATCTAGAATTATTGGTTCCTTTTCAAGGACTATGTGAAGAAAGAACTTGTGGTACTTTCGATTTTTGAAATTTTTTATTCAGCTTAATTCTACAGAAATGAACTGAAGTTTATGACGTTAAAAGCAAGTCGTATACTTAAACGTTGTTATTTCGGCGTTCACCAAAACAGAAGAAATTTGTTACTTTTTCCCAAAGGACTAAGATGTACTTTTTGGTTAACAGCAAATTTTATTAATTTTTCCTCAACAATATTTCTTTCCTAGGAGGATTTATCTGCTTCATTGTGAGATATCTCTAATAAGAACTTTTCATTTAGTGAAAACATATGTTTATTCAAATTCGCTTTGTTGTTATGGTTTGTGACGTCTTTGGAAATCTTTTCAGAATGGAAGCTCAGTCTCCAGACCAAGTCAGTATTCTTTTCATGCATTTACTCTCATTTATTTCATTCCAGCTTCTTCCATACAGTGTAGCACAGAAACTAAAGTTCAAATGAATAATGACTTTTCCACTCTAAAACCAAACTTAAATGATTTCGGCTTTATAACGTTGTGATAAATACGATTTACTCTGCTAGTTTGACCAATTCACCAAGGACACTAGGTAGTCAGGTGGCTAGGTTTCAACAGTAAACAGGCAAAAACGACCTTATTGCATCTAGTTTAAAGAGATTTGTTTTCGAAACACTATAGAAGACAAATTTTCCAGACATATTTATTACAGTACATGGAGTATTGCCTTTTCTTCTGATCACATTATTACTACTGTTATTCGTTCCTTGCATCCACAGTGGAATATAGGGCTTCAATGATGCATATCTATTCCCCTCAGTCCACTACCATTACTTTTAGCCAGCTTCACGATTGCCCACAAACTTTCCTTTACTTGTCACTTGGTCCTCTTGTTATCGCCCTCAGAGGCCTATACATCTCTTTATATTAGACTCCCGCTCAAGAGGTTAGCGCAAAATGTTAACTGAACATGTCCTTAGTGCATATTTAATCCGTTTCATCTCGTTCTGCACATTTTTCAGTTAACAGATTGTTGTCTGGTTCAATTCCAGCTAGAGCTCCTTGTTGCTTGTCCTTTTAAGCCGGTCATAGGACCTTTATTATCGTATGAAGGAATGTATTGATGGAGATCTCTAGCCTGGTGGAAATGGTTTCAGTGAAGCACTAGCCATGGCTTTCAACTTTACAGAAGCACTAACTTGACATGAGTATTCAAAATTGGGATCCTGTTCGGTGTTGAGTGCTGTAGATCTCTACACTCATTTCAGAGTAATAAAATCCTGTCATATTGGCTGATATTCACATGCTAATCTGTGCTACCTGTATTTTAAGCGATGCTGGCCAGGTAAGCGACCAAGAAAACTTCATTTAGAATTCTCACGGAACTGTACATTGTTTAGAATTAAACAGTTTACTCAAACGAAAAGGTGAAAGGATTTTCCTTGATTTTTCCCTAGTATTAATTGTCTCAACACTTTATTGAGGTGAGAAAATCAAGCTATTACATTGGTCAAATCGAATTCACTATTTGCAAATTGATTCGTGACTTGCAATTTACAAATTTCTACGCGAAATTCCACTACAGTTTCCTTTGATACCATACTCATTTGGCCCTCCTAACTGAGTCCAACCAAGTGCACCTCTGGTGGGCTTGAACCCAAACGATCCGAACCACCATCCAGCGCTTAGATCACTTTGATCTGCCTAGTGAACACTACTGGCTGGTGGCAGCGGTACCCAACCACTCATAACCATCAATCAGGAGTATACAGCACCCTACAATTACATATTAAATTGGTCATTCATATTCATTCTAAACAAATAGTTCCTCATCATACAAGGTTAACATACCTGTTCATAAACCTTAGGTACATCATTCAAATGATTTTCTTCAGGGCTTTGTCTTTCAACGTGGTTTCTGTTGGGAGCAAAAAGAGTTAAATAACAATTAAGGGAATAATAAAACAAACGGTTTGAGCAAATTAGAAGACAAATGTTTCCTATTAGACCTTTGAGCACAGTCTAATGTTATAAGGGGAAATATTCCAGACTCCAGAATAAGTGATAAAAATACCATACACCACGGGAATTTACTTTAAACAAAAGTTTTACAGTTACCCAAATTGGCAAATACACACTATAAAACTGGAAGTTAGTACTGCTAGACAGCCATCAATGTGGTGTAACTGAGCATAAAATCAAGTGAGTATAACTTTCTGACCAGACATTTACAAAATCGTCAACCATTAGAAAACTAACGCTAAAATAAACTTACAGGTCTAAACATTGGACTGCGTAACAAATCAAAACGATATCGTTAAGTTACATTATTCTGAGATCATTGAATGCTAGTTTTAATTTATTTAGTAATTAATCTTGCAAAACTTGATTACTCAGTGGTTATAAATTACTTCCCTTTTCTGCTTAACGGCTAAACTAAATAATAATTATTTCGTGGGTAATGTCTTACCTATTCCGGGTTTTAGTCGGAATTTCTTCTTTCATGGATGTAGGCATTCAACCAAATATTTAATAGTTCATTGTACATGAAACCCTCTGAGTAACTTGATTGAAGAGTGTATATCACTGTTTACTGATTGTGATTGCTACGAAAATATATGGTCATTTTTGTCGGTATCAGCTTCTCTCATAACTGCTTTCCTGTAAATGTTTCTCTGGCGCAGTTCCCATCGCTTTTCTACAGCCTCCCGTATAGCATGCTGCATAAGAATAAGGTTTTCGGACGGTGTCCTCTTAAAACTTGCTTAGCTGGTTGAAAGCCCAGCAAAGGGGAAAGGTTGAGCGTGAGGCTAGCAACCCTACCCCCATAAAAATAACACCACTGAAACTCCAAAGTTCAAGGCTGAAGCCCTATGTTTCATGTGGAACGCAAAATGAGTGAAGGAAAGAACGAAAGAGATTAAACTGTCCACTGAAGAATATTACTACAATACTTCTGCATCTTCGTCAATCATTGTCCTCGAAACCCAGTTGAATTCGGCCCTTAAATTTGCTCCTGATTTTCGGATCTTCATTTTTAAAAGGCGGCGAGGTCTGTTAAATGCCAGTGATTTTGTATCAGAGAAACCTGCTCAGTGTCTTACCAAAAATGGATTTGTGTGTTTCATCATGCTTTCATCAAGATTTGTTACTAATTGTTGACATGATAGTCCCGTTCTGTGCTTCCAGAGGTTTTCAGTTAAGCATTCTAGATCATCAGTGAAATAAAGTAATTCTTTTGTCATAAGATATACGCCACAATTTTTCAGCTGTCATACTATTTAAGTTGATAGTTGATAATTTTCCTAGTGTCACTCATCGTGTTTAACATGGCTGTAGTATTACACTGAAATAGCAATAGAAAATATGTCACTCAATCCTTCAGTCTAAATTTCTAGGCAGGATGAAAATATTAATAATATCATGCTGCTAAACAATGCAATTTCGTAGATGGAAACGTATTTCCATTTTAGGAAAGTATATATATATATATAATTCAAGTCCAGTTTTATAGTTTACTTCTTATTATCACTGAACTCTTTAAATAATCTGAAAAGAAGTAATGGTGCTCTAAGCAATTTTTGAAATGGTTAGACGAAAAGAAATGAAAACCAAAAAGAGTTTAACTGAATATCTAACCCCATAAAATCCACAAAAATGACTTCACTCGATAACAGTGTTTCACATTCTTTTCCTAGCTTGCTTGTAACTGTTTGAATAAGATTCGCATCAAACCATTTTTCATCCTCCACAACAGACAAGCGATCGGCAAGTACACGACGAACTTCATGCTGCCATAATGACAAGACACTCTCTTTTGACTTGAACACCTGTGAAACATATTTAAACAATGTTCACCACTTAAACTTTTCAATTTTCAAAAGCATCATATTTTCAGTGGTTTACCGATATTACTGTAATAAATTGTATAAGCCAATAATATGTCAGTAAATGACAGGTGATTATACACAGTAAATTAAACGCACTACACTAAAGTTAAGTGGAAAGCTAAATTTTCCCTTGTTTTATGTCTACTACAACGGTTATAATCAATGACAGCTCAAATCATACATTTTAATTCTATCAGAAATCTGCAAAATGGAAGCAGTTCATGCGATGGGAAACCCAATAATCACACATTTAATTAAAACCAACAACATTACTGTTCTAATATATAAATATATAATCAGTAGCATTCTTGTTTTTCTAAACTGGAAAATAGAAACAATGTTCTTTAAAATGAAAGCTATTTATATACATTTCGTATCAACTCACTCACTAACATAGAATTTCGTACAAAAATGTGCATCAGTTTTACGTACCACAGTGTTATACAGTAATATTCACTGTAAATATTACTGTATAACACTGTGTGACTTTATCAAAATAAAATTTTGTCCATAATGGAATTTTACTGTACCACAAAGTCCAAGTTTTATTCTTGTATATAGTTACCACACATATTGAAGGCTTTCATAAACTAGAGGGAGGAAATGAGGTGGGGGGAAACAACAGTGGGCGAAAATGTGAGATAGAAGGAGTATTTATGTGTGGAATAGTGTAGATTACCAGGATATAGATGATGACAAGAAGTAAATACGTCTGCACTGCTGATTAGTTGGCCACCTAACATACCAATAATTCTGCTCAAGGTCTTCAGATGACTCTGCGTTTTGCATCCTCACTTAGAAAGACTGTATCTTCTGCATGCCGTAAGTTGTAGAGACTGTTACTTGATAAAAAAGATAAAATCCCAAAATACAGAAGTCAAGTAGAGTCACGTCCATTAGTACATGTGTAATTAAATTAAGTCAGCATATTTACATGGACATCCCTGAATGACACCAGTAGCTGTCGGTGGCACAGTGGCTAAGACTCTCGCCGACCATGCACATGGTCCGGGGTTCGATCCCCTGCCGACGCACACCCGATATCTATCGTCGGCCTGCAGAATTTGGGCTACCGATATCCATGCTGAAAATTCCATACTTGTACTGAAAATACGGTGTGGCATCAAGCTGTAATCAAAAATAAATAATATCCCTCCGTAAGCTTTAAAACGATTGTATGAGATAGAAAAGAACACTATGTAGTTTTATACACTTCCTTGACATCATCTTTACAGCTAGACATTACCACAACATCTCTCAATTGGCTGGGTGGAGTGCAGCCTTCAGGTCATGAAGAATGGCAAGTGTTGGACGCCAGTGAATATGGCTGTGCCACCGGGAAAATGTGATCATGACACTGTTTCGTGCCGGAAATGTTTTCGGTATCCTGAAACTTGCTTTTTTGATCTCCACTCAGTCTGTTGAACCTATAATCTTGAATACTGTGGTGGCCAGGCTGAAATCAATGAGATTTATTTTCTATATTTAAAGACTAGTATGATCAGCAGTCTACAACAGCCTGGTGAAATGACCACAGATTTCTAGTTAATAATTCACAACCACCATCGTTGAAGACCTTAGGTATCGAACCAACAGATAATTCTACTTTGACTTGGTTTAAAAACTACATTCAAAAACGTGATTATAATCGGGTATCCGATTTCTACATCTCATTTAGGCTAGCGTAAGATGGCGGTCAGATATGACGCATTGAAGTCCATTTGAGCTCTTCTTCAAATTGTTCCGCTCAGTGTTCTAGCTGCCTCATATGAAGACTTGTAGAAATTTTATCTAATTTGCAGATCGTTTTACTTACTATAGAATAGGAATACATTTGCCATCTCCTCCCTTAATAAAGATTTCATACTACCACCTTGTAGGCATGCAACAACGGGGACATTTGCGTGACTGGAATCTATGCAGGCATTCCAGAAGAGATAAGAGTATTCCGCTGACGGCCTTTATCGATGACATACAGCTAAGTGAAAAAAATTATCAGTGAAACTAAGGGGTTTAAGCCAAAACATTTTCTGTATCTTGTGTTATGTCCATCCCTCTTGTTATTCACCAACTATGCACAAATGATACACTTCTCATGCAGGTGCAGGTGATACACAAACAAAATCAACTTATATTTTTTCTGGCTGAAATATTCTTTAGAAATTTAGAGGTGAATGTCCTGAGTCAGTAGAGTTCAATGTCACATTTTTAGGCAAAGTATGAGGATGAAACGCTTGTGGTGTAAAACAGAATGAGGCACAACTCTAAATAATTTCAAATTTTTCAACGATTTACATAAAAATGTCAACAGAGCGAAAATTCTCATTCAAACATTCAGTGGATAAAAGAAATTCTGAGCAAAGAATTTCATTTTCGATAGAGATGGAAGACAAATTTATCGAAAAGAATATTCTTTGGTTGAATTTTCTTTTGATAAAATTGTCAATTTTGTAATGAAATGTGAGCCTTAATAGTAGTTTATTTTCTGGCTTTTTATTGACAATGAAGGAGGAGAGAAATTTATGGCAACTCGCTGAATCTAGCACCTCTTTTACTAAGAGGAGATCATAGCGGTATTCCTCAAACGCTAATTCACATCTTTGAGAACTTTTTAGCGACTGAGATTATTCGCAGAGAGGATTTTGTTACTTAGCATTTTTTTCTAACCAGAAGATTGTCATTATGAACTTTTATCAATAATTTAGGTGTCATTTTCACTAACGCATTACATACCTGAAAATTCTTTGTATCAGTTCATTGACCTTCGGTTTATGTTACACAAAAAAGTGAAATAATTTCACTTGGAATGGATGTAAAAAGTTGTGCTTAAGCTAAGTTATAACAAATCTCGATCAAAAAGGACGAAAATAATAAATTCAGTTCTGTAAACATTTCCTTTGTAAGATGATATAACTTTTAGTGTGGTGGATGCAGACCTAGTTAAATTGTAGTTATGTTATCAGGTCACTTAATTACTGGATTTTCAATAGGAATTTCCAAATTGACCACGGATTGATATCAGTTAGAGAACATTGAAAACCAGCAGGGAGTACTGGACAACTGACGTTTCGTCCTGGTTCGGGAATCATCGGCAGTACGCACTCACCAACAGGGTTCGAACCCAGGACCTTCCAGTTACAAGGCAAGTTCATATATCATTCAGCCACTGGGACCCGATTCAATGGCCCATGAATTCTAACTTCTACCAATTCATGATTTAGCACGACCTCAAGCAATCCCATCGGTGGGACATCCATCCTCACACTTGAATGGATGAACCTCACTGGTCACGTCTTCTCACCCCATCCTGTAGCAAGTCACTATTGAGCATCAGATTGATTTTCAAGAGTTGGTTTGTAAGGATTAGATTTGTTTATACAAGTTTGACCACGGATTGATATCAGTTAGAGAACCATTGAAAACCAGTAGGGAGTACCGGATAGCTGTTTCATCCTAGCTAGTATACTATTCAGCTTGCCTAGTAACCGGAAGGTCCTGGGTTCGAACCCTGGCGGTGGGTGCGTACTGATGATGATTCCAAAACTAGAATGAAACAGCTATCCAGTACTCCCTGCTGGTTTTCAATGGTTCTCTAACTGATATCAATCCGTGGTCAAACTCGTATAA